AACTCTATAAATTTATAGGAATCAATAATGACACGACGTGGAATTTTAATTTTATTTATTTCCGGTAGTTTATCAACTAATTCAGACCAAAGTTTACAAATATCCTGCGGCAGTTGTTCATCCCAGGACAATTTGTACAGCCATAATTTTTGAAGCAGCATTTTCATGACCATAATACAAGGACCTAAAAGCCCTAAAGGGTCAAATATCTGTGAAATCACAGAAAGAATTTCACGTTTACTATTACTATCTACAACAGCTTGGCTACTAATGGGAAAACATAACTGATCAGGCATCGCCTGCCAACCTAGCCCTAATGTTTTAGTTGACTCAAATCCTCCAACGTTCAAATCTAGTGAATATTGTGGAAAGTCATGTTCAATCATTAACTGCATGTCATTTGATTTCCACTTTCTTAAATTCATTTTTGCAGAAGCAAGAGTGGATGTTATTTTGTGACGTAAATCCTTGACCTCATTAATATCATCTCCACCTGTGAGGAGGTCGTCGACATAAAAATCATGAAGAATAACTTCAGAAACATTCCTATCAGTGCACTCTAGGCCTAATTGATGGATACATCTCGTTGCTAAGAACGGAGCGCTAGCTGTGCCGTAGGTTACTGTATTAAGTTGATAAGTGTGTAACGGAGATGAAGGGCTATCACGCCAGATAATCTGTTGAAGATGCCTGTCGTCGGGATGAACAACCACAGTTCGGTACATTTTCTCTATGTCTCCCGCTAGGATATACTTGTGCTGTCTAAACCGTAATAAAATAGATAATAAATCATCTTGAATTACAGGACCTGTCATTTGCAAGTTATTTAAAGATATACCAGTAGTAGTTGGGCTGCTAGCATTAAAAACCACTCTCAATTTTGTGGTGGTACTACTTTCCCGTATAACGCCGTGATGCGGGATATAATGAGCACTTTGTACTGCAGAGTTGCACTTAGACATATGGCCTAATTGTTCATATTCTAGCATAAATTGTTTATACATTTCACTAAATTGAGGTTTGACTTTAAATCTACGTTCTAATGAGGAGAAACAATGTTTGGCTCGAGATAACGAATCGCCAAGTAATTCAGGAGAATACTTTAAAGGAAATCTTACGCAAAATTGACCGTTTTCCAAACGCGTTGTATTTTTTACAAAATGTTCTTCACACTGTTTTTCCTCAGAAGAATAATGTGACGTTATACTAACGTTTTCTAATTGCCAAAAACGTGTGAGTAATTGTTGTATGTTGTCATTAAGTTCATCATTATTACAATCCGAGATAACCTTTGTAACATTGCATTTACTCTTTATAGAGGTTGATTCCATAGTACCGCTAGTCGGGCCAGAGACAAGCCAACCAAGCCTCGTCTCACAGAGAATGGGTTGTCCTGGTCCTAGTTTTATTATTTTAGATCCTAACAGGTCCTAAAAGATATCAGCACCGATCAGTATATCTATAGGAGAGGGTGAATTAAAATTAGGATCAGCCAAATAGATATCTGAAGGAATTTCAAGGCTTAACAAATCTACGTGCCTACTAGGAACATTGTCTGTAATAGAATTTAAGACGAAACAGTTAATGTTCGTCATAAAGTCAGTATTTATCGATTTTATGGACACAACGGCCATTTTATTAATGGGAGATATTGAATTATTAATTCCCATTATTGTGTTATTAACAGTGCAACCAGACAAACCTAATTGTTGATAAAACGCCTCAGTCATGAGACATGACGTGCTGCCGCTGTCAAGGAGAGCACGCGCTGTGTGTAACGTGCGATTCTTTCCTATCACTTTTATTAATGCAGTCGAAAGTAAAATATCGCCCTTTTGAACATTTGCAGACAACGACAAACTTGTACCTTGAGCTAAAGCAGCGGACGTACTCCTGCAACTATTAGTATCGTCACTGCTAACGCTGGTTTGAATGGTTGAAGCGGTTTTAGACTTCAAATGTTCTGTAACATGTACAAGCGTGTGGTGTTTGCGACGGCATATTTTACAGCCTGCCTTTTTACAGTTATTAGCATAATGACCTGAACACAAACAATTAAAGCATACTTTATAGCTTGGCAAAACTTGCAAGCGCGCTTCACTAGTCAGTGCTAAAAATTGAGGACAAACGCTTAATTTATGGTCACCGTTACATTTTTGACATAACTTAGGTTTTAATGAGATAGAATTTGATTGAATACTATTGTCATTGGCGCTACCTTTATTATTGCAATCTTGTATAATCATTGTTTTAAATTTAACATTTTTTGTGTTTGTTTGACTCACAATAGTAGAATTCGAAAGCTCTAAGGTTTCTATTAAATCAGCTCGATCTCTAATGAAATTCAAAAATATCGAAAACATTATTTTAGAATTCTTGTCAAGACGACCTTTGTATTCTTCCCATTCACGGTAAGTTTTATTATCTAATTTATGTGTAATAATATAAATGAGAAGAGTGTCCCACTGATTAACAGGTTCGCCTAATGACTCCAACGCACGCAAATTTTTGTTAATTTGATCAATTAAATTCTTTAAAATTACAGACGACTCTTTACGAATGGAATCTATATTAAATAATGTTGAAACATGGTGTTGGATTAATAAATGTTTATTGTCGAATCGATCACAAAGGAGTTTCCATGCTACTGAATAATTAGCGGCCGAAAACTGAGTCGAGTTAATTACCACAGCAGCGGATCCTTCAAGCGAGGACCTTAAATAATGAAACTTGTTGATATCATTCATGTCATCGTTACAATGAATAAGACTTTCGAATGTGTCATGAAACTCTAACCAGTTTGTATAAGATCCACTAAATTTAGGCAATTGAATAGTCGGTAGCTTGACACATTTATTAGTCGACTGTAGACTTACCTCACTATCTTGATCTCTTTTCTTACAGTCAGCAAGAATTTTTTGTGCTAAAGATAGGGATTTGTAATAAAAAGACTCAAACTCGCTACGTTCCAACATTTGATTGTCCATATTATCAGTACTACACTCCAATGATAATTGTACTTCGTCATATTGCTCGTACATTGCCTCGAGCCTACTCAAACGCAATTGTAATTCATTTACTTCGGAAGGGCTTAACGTTAAAGGTTCTAAAGAATTCAAATAATTAGAGAATACAGTTACTCTTCCCTTAAAACTAGCCCGTTTCCTTATGAGCTCCTTATCTTCTGGCATTGCGGCGACTAGTACAAACAACCTGGAATGTATACAAAATTATAATTAATAATTATAATTTACATGCACTTAATACAATTTAATGTGGAACTTGTTATATCAACATTTGACATTTATAAGTATGTAGTGCTAAAATAAACTTAATATTTAATTTATAACCTATTAAATTTAGAGCTTAACACGTATTGTTTATGAATTAACTAAATTAGTATCAATATTAATCAGTTAAGTAGTACCTATATATTTAAATACAAACTTAAGCGGTTATGTAAATGACTTTGCAATAGAAGTTCACAAATAAATAACAATGCATAAATGCCTACATACATACGTTATCTTTTTAAAGACTTTAAATTATGTCAAATAACTTCTAATAAAAAAAATACAAGTCAAACTACACAAATTACAATGATATCATTGTATAAACGCTTAAAGTAAATTAACAAAGTATTTGATACTAACCTTTTATAACAATATTTTAACATTAAATACTACCTTAAGAGTGTTGGGGAAATTAATCATCAAAATTATTATAGTACGTATCCTGATATCCAGACCACAGAATCTTCTTGTTCTATAATCTTCCGAATGACGTAGCAAAATTGTACATCGAATTCTGACTATAATCCTTGATGTCCAACGACAATTATTTATAAATCCCTTATTTATTATAATCACGAATCGCTGAATTCCACACATCCAAGCTCGAATAAGGACCATGTACGGGATTTCGGCAGTATTTAGAGGAGTAAAATAAAAAACGTGTTCTTGATGCACTTACAAAAGATTTAATAATTTATTACAAAAAAATACCCAAGAGGTGGGGTAGACACACCATGAATTTTTCTTTCGATATGTAATTTTGCCTCAATAATTATTCAGGCGCTTTGCACGAACAGTACCTCTTATGGTTTAGCCAACGTTAGACATGTATATAAATTCAAAATTTCTAGGAACGGTTCGATAGAACGAGTATTGTGTTTTCCGTAGGAATTAAAGATTTTCCTATAGTAAAACAGATACCTTTAAATGTTGAGCCGAGTAATAAATTATCACTATGCAAAATTTAGTCAAAATCGGTTCAGTACTTTTTGCGTGAAACGCGCACATCGATTTCGCTAAGTTAATGTTTTATTAAAAAAGAATTTCGAAGTCGACGCACCTTTTTTGTTAGAACTAATTAATATAATAGAAATATAAAAAAATATGGTTGAGATCCGATACATGAACTTGGATTTTTACTACTGTAAATGAGGAAATGTATGTACGTATATGTCTGTTACTTCCTCACGTTAAACCGGCTGGATCGATTTGGATGAAATTTAGTACACAGATAGAGTATGACCTGGAGTAACATATAGGCTACTGCTAGGCATCTAGGTTAAGCTACTAGTTGTCTATATTTTGATGATAATTTCTAATTAAAAGACTTCAAAATCACTTTACTTTACCATCCCTAGGTATAACCTTTTGAGCGTTAAAAATACCAAACACATGTACACATACATACATACATACATACATACATACATACATACATACATACATACATACATACATACACATATAATCTAATGTATTGCCCAACATCGTGGCCTGACCCCCCTCGTATTGAAATTTTATTATTTATTAAAAAAAAAGCAGTTGTTGAGTTTATGGTTTTTTTACCAGAACTGCTTAGCGGAAGAAAGCTCACCAATAGCTAGTGCATACATATATCAAAATCGTTGCTAAAAGTGCTCTTTTAATTAAGTTTATCAAACTTCAAAATTTCTTTTAAATTGAGTAATTTTGTTTCAGATTTGAACAATGGGTTTCCTAGAGGAAAGAGATCTGAGCGATGTCCCATCGATACCTGATTATTACAAAGGAAAGACAATATTCATAACTGGTGGTTCGGGTATGTATATTTTTGGTTCCAGTCTACGGCTATAATTAGATTATATTGTAACTTGTTAGGATACAATTTTATCCAATTTGAACTACTATTAATCGGATAAAAAGTAACCTATGTCACTCGCCGGTCACACATTCACTCTTTCTCGTTCATTTATCCTCTCTGTCAATTATTCATATTCAGCTCTTTGTTTTTTAACATCCCACTGCTGGGCATGACCCTGCCATTACTACAAGGGATCAAACGAAAGTCCACGTTGTCCATATGTGCTTGCTTAAAAACTGCTAATATGCTAGTTCTTCTCAGACGTGCAGATTTCCTTTCACTGTAAGACGTCGACTATCTCTTAGAAAAATTTATGGCATTCTGTTGCTCCACCGTTTTGAGAAAGAGATCACAAATGCTATTCCATATAATATGTATAATTTTATCATATACTAGCGACTCACCTCGCTTCGCTCGGGTTTGTCCCTAGCTTTATTCTCCATACAAACTTTCATCCCCATTTTCACCCAATTAAGGGATGATTTCCGGGATAAAAAGTATCCTATGTCCTTCACAGGGTCTTAAACTATCTTCTTACCAAATTTCTTCTAAATCGGTTCAGTAGATCCAGAGATTATCCTCTACACTCCTCCACAAACTTACAAACTTTACCTCTTTATAATATTAGTATTGACGGGAAGTACTTTTAGTACCCGCGGTTTTGCCCGCGTTTAAACTTCCGATATAAATATCAGTTTTTCAATAATGTATGGAAGTCTGCCCGATTTGTTGACATTTATGTTTACTGCTCAGCTCCCTTGAGTAGTAGCATGATGATATATAAAGTTCCTGAGATTAGCGCGTTTAAATAAACAAAAAACAAACAAACTCTGCATCTTTATAATATTAGTAACTATAGATAAGTATAGATAACAAACGCTACAGACCCTGAATAATAGATTTCATATCATTTAAACAAATAACGTAATTGTATCGAATCTTATTTTTCATTGACCCCTTTAAGACGAATTAATTTGACTCTAACAATTATTACTTAGCTCATGCATTTATTCTCAGTACCTACTATATAAAATTTTAGATTTATACGAATATTTGACATTTTAAATAAAACTATCTTCTAGGATCTAGAACTATCTAGTATTTATTTAGATTCTTGGTTTTTGTTTTTGATTCTAACGTCGGGACGTTTCAATTTACAGTACCTGGGCCACCGAGCTTGGCTCGGAGTTTTTGGTTAAAAAGTACAATTTTCTTTTAGAAAACACTAAAAACATGACTAAATACAACAAAAAAATTATACCTTTGTATCCGACCGGGATTGGAACCCGGACACCTATGATTGTCAATCTTGCGTCTTTTTGTTTAAAAAAAAAACTAAAAAGTTGAATAAATATTAAAAATAAAAGTAAAACTTTGTACGCTACGGAGATTCGAACCTGGACACCTAAAATTGTTAATCTTGCACCTTGGCTGCTTAAACACGATGCTTATATCCGAGCGTGCGAAATTATCGAACATAATATTTTGCGTGGAATAATACAAAAGAAATAAAAATATTAAGCTTTATTTATTTTATACATGCTTACTTATAATTTTAAATTATAATTACTCTTACTTAATTAATAATTTTAAACATTGTATTTTAACAGATCATATTTATAACTTATTTGATTATATTTAATTTAACTTCAATTTTTGGTTAGTGACTATTTATTAACTTATCATTTTTTAACTAATAATTTTGTAATCTGGAATTAATTTATTTTATAAATCTTTAATATTATTTGAAATGATATTGTATGTTGTGAGCAATTACTTAATTGATTAATATATATAAATTATCATATAAATAAATAAATAAATAAATAAACAATCACAATAAATTAAATAATTCAATTGAGTAAATACTAAACATTACACAATAATAAATATAAATAAAATTTCTTTCCATACATTAATTCTGACAATAGTTATAAATTAGGTATTTAATTTAATAATTAAATGTTTATTTATTTTTCTTTTATTCTTCGTGTACAATAAATAGTTTATTATTATTATTATTATTTATTTAGTAAATGTCTTTTGTGAATTTCCTATTAGGTTTCATGTATAGACCCCTCTCGGGTAAAAGCCTCCTCCAAAGTAGTCCTGCATAGAGCTCTCCGTTGGATATTACGCTTGTATGATTGCAAAGGGTTTCTTTCGAGTTTTGTTTCCAATTGTACATTAAATATTTTTTGGAAAATCTTATTGAAATAAACATTATTATCGATACAGAAGCTGAATCTACGGCTTTTTGAATTTTTTTTCTGTCTGTTACCGCATCACGGAAAAACCACTGGACAGATTTTGATGAAATTTGGTATGATGATAACTGGTTATCCGGGTCAACATATAAGATACATTTTACCGCGGGAAATATCTAATTTCTGAGAATAAATACAAAAACTGCAATGTAAGAGTACTTATACTAATATGTAAAACCTAAGAATTTGGTTTTTGGCCATCTGAACGCGAGCGGAGCCGCGGGCAATGCTAGTAGCTATATAATGTAGCTATATAAAACCTTTGAGACGTCTATAACCTTAGTCTCCCCCGTGACGATGATTGCTGTAAAGCATTCGAAATGTCGGGAACCAAAAATCAAAATAAATCCGCGAAAAAATCCGAAAAGATAGTTTTATTTAAAATTTATAAATATTTTTTAGATTTTTACTCTTAAATACAAATGTTTTTGGAATGACGAGTTATTAAAAAAATAGAGAGGGCAATATTGGATTATAATGCCACCTCTATTTTTTACTCTATGTCTAAGGGAAGATATTGTATGAAGACTAACAATTTACATCCACACGTTTACAAAATCCGCGCGGAAATCGATCCTGTGGCTTCCGACATATGATGTAATTCACTTGGAAGTTATATTATACGTCCTACGTTGGGCCATCACGAATGTTATTTTTATATCTATCTGAGCATCTAAGCATTTTCGGGTCAAAAATGGTCAACTTCAAATTGTTTTAACTCATTTTTATGTATGTTTTTCTGGCAACTGACAAATTGATTATTATAAATAAATAAATAATAATAAATAAAATAAATAAATGTTGGGACATTAACACACAGCGCCATCTAGTTCCATGGTAAGCTACGAGGCTTGTGTTATGGACACCAGATAGTTGATACACTACATATATTTAACTTTTAAATACATACATATTATAAATATAAACACCCATGACTGGAGTACAAATATTCGTGCTCATCACATAAATGAATGCCCTCAGCGGGACTCGAACCCGCGACCGCTGGCACATCAAGTAGGGTCACTACCAAGTGAGCCAAACGTGTCGTCGTATTAACAAGGTATGAAGAAAAATCTACAATTTGTCTACTTCTGACTAGATCTTCTTCTCTTTTCCCTCCCAACTTCTCGGATTTTTACGAAAATAGTTTCTATCGGCAAAAACTTTGATTATGGTTTTATAATGAAGCCAGACAGGACTTTTAACAATACAGGTTTTTAACGATAAAAATTTGAAACGATTTAAACGAAAAAAAGGTATTTAATACAATATTTTTTTTATTTGCAGGTTTCATGGGAAAAGTTCTCGTTGAAAAATTGCTATACTCCTGTTCAGATTTAGACAGAATTTATTTGTTGCTTAGAAGTAAGAAAGGGGTCAAACCTGAAGATAGATTACTTGAACTATATAAATCAAGAGTAAGTTAAACTATAGGTTTAATATAGCATTATATTACTATTTTTGATCACCTCGTCAGTATTTTAGATATGGTGTGCCAAGTGCTTGGCAGCCATAATCAAAGTCCGGTAAGGAGGGCATTATATGGTTACTAATCATATAATTTGTAGCTCAAGCTTATAGTGGAAAGGATAAATTATTAAGTTTTTTCGTCAAGACATCATCCAGGACATTTTTAGTTAAAGAATTGCTGATCGTCTTTCCAGCCCTGAAGTATTTCCTTGATCTTTTCTGTAGATCTGTATTCAGCCCTTTTTAACGTCCCACTGCTGGGCACGGGCCTCCCTTCAGCACGAGGGGAATCAGGCCATAGTCCACCACGCTGGCCAAGTGCGGGTTGGCGGACTTCACATGTCTTTTGAAAACTTGCTAGATTCTCTCAGACATGCAGGTTTCCTCACGATGTTTTCCTTCACCGTTAAGACAAGTGGTAATCATGTTGGAAATGATTCGCACATGAAAGTATCAGAGGTGCGAGACCCGGGATTTGAACTCACTTCATTCGGTTTCCCAAGCGAGCGCGTTACCACTGGGATACCATCGCCTGATCTGTAGATCTATCAGCGTATTAAAAAGGGAAAAATAGAGTGCATCTGCACAGGGTTAGCTTGTTTTATTAAAATCCGTATCTTAGTTCGACCGTGGACTCAACATCAGGACTTCATATCAGCTTGGGAATAGCTTCTGCACAAGATGATACTCATACAGAAATCTGTAGTTGTTGGTAATATTTTTCTTTTGGATTGATAGAGATAAGCAAAAAGGATAGGAAAAATGATAGAAATATGAAATATGTAATATATCTGTACATAGTATAAAATGAAGTCGCTTCCGCTGTCTGTTCGCTTAGATCTTATAAACTACTCAACGGATTTTAATGCAGTTTTCAGCAATAGATAGAGTGATTCAAGGGGTAGATTTATATGTATAATACATGTATATTATAGTACAGAAACGCCGAGAAATTCAAAGATTTGTATTTTATACTAACCGTTAAAACGAATCGCTAGTTTGAATATAATTTAAATATGCTTTGCTTGCCTTCTAAAGCTTAGTGTATTTGCCATATAAAGTCAGATAACGTATAATATATAAGTTGATTTTTTCAGTGTTTCGATCGTCTCAGAAAGGAAAAGCCGGATATATTTGAAAATAAAGTATTCTTTATTAGCGGAGATTGCAGCGAAATTGGTTTAGGTAAATTTTATTTTTATTATGATTTGGATTATTATGACGTTATAAATATTATTTTTAAAAATTTTCTACCAAAAAACGTAGCTCTATATTGTGGAAGGCAATCATTGTAAAAAAATAATATTACAAGATATTCTGATAAGTACATCTTGTGGAAAGAAACAGTCTTAGAAAAATACTTTCATGGGAATTATCCTATTATTATTATAATATATCCTAAGCTGAATTAAGAGTTTTAGATATTATAAATCTGTATCTTTATTTAAACGTACATACTTGAGAACTGTACGTTAAAAAAGTCAAATTAAAATGTGTCCAGTAAATAATAAACCTCATATATTCTCTAAGTTTTTAGATAATTTTGAAGCGGGTGGGTGTAATTTATTAAAATTAGCAATTAATAAAATAAATGGATATATTTTGAGATAAAAATATTACAGGTATCTCAGATGAAAAATTAGTAATTAATAAAATAAATGGATATATTTTGAGATAAAAATATTACAGGTATCTCAGATGAAGACAGAACACTATTATTGAATAGAACACAGATTATCTTCCACGTCGCTGCAAGTGTCAGGTAAGAGGAACATAAAAAGTCGGAGTGCAGGCAAAAAACTGGGTATGACAGAATTTTTTTTTTTTTGTATTGAAAACAAATCTATGTCTATGGTATTTAGAGATACGAGTACTATGGTATAAATATGGTTTTTACAAATACTCAACGGATTTCGCTAAAAATACGTTTTTATCTATGCCCTAAACGAAAACAACTGCGAATGTCTATGAATGAATGTACCTATAAGAATGGAGGAGGATTGTCCAAAAATCTAAGTTGTAAAAAGTTACTACTTAATTTGATCTCAATAAAATTATTATACTTTTAAACTTTAAATTACTTTTTTTTCATAATATCTTCATTAGGATATTCGCTGTTTTTTGCCTGTGCTCTTCATATGATGTGCTCGTAAAGTAGAAAAAATATGAAATATGGTACTGCTAAATATTTAATTTAAATTTGCATTTTCATAATTAATTCGTAGGCGCTATATGAGCGAGGTGACTTCCTCAATTAAAACAAAAAATTCTTAATAAAATTTTACCATTTGGGTCAAGTACATAAATGAATGTAGTTCAATTTAACAATTTAATAAAATGTATTTATTACATTAAAACTAATTAACTTTAATTGCTTCAGCCTTTCCCTATTGTTTGAAATTTGTAATAATGATTTGTAAATTATTGATTAATTTAAGTTAATAATGGACGACACGTTTGGCTCAGTTTGTAGTGAGGCTACTTATTGCCAGCGGTCGCGGGTTTGAGTCCCGCTGGTCATCCATTTGTGTGATGAGCACGAATGTTTGTACTCCAGTCAAGGGTGCTTATATTTATAATACCAGAAAAAACACAAACACATCTATCCCACGGGAACCGTACATTTTTCCGGGATAAAAAGTAGCCTATGTGTTATTCCAGACTATAATCTATTTTTGTGCCAAACTCCATCCAGATCCGTTAAGCCGTTCTGGCGTGAAAGAGTAACAAACATCCATACTCACAAACTTTCACATTTATATTATTAAATAATACGGAAGTATGCATTTAAAGTTATATATGTATAGTGTAACAACTATCTAGTATCCATAACACAAGCCTCGTAGCTTATCATGGAACTAGATGGTGCTGTGTGTTAATGTCCCAACATATTAATTTAAATATTATTGATTGCAGATTTGACGACTCTTTGAAAGTTGCTGCGAATTTGAACTTACGTGGAACTTGTGAAATGATAGAACTCGCTAAACATATTAGAAATCTTGAAGTACGTATTATGCTTTAAGTTACTAATAGGTTAACTTTATAGGGTTATTTTATTCCAGCACTTTCATGACATATTAGTTAAAACGAACAAAAGATAACTAAGAATGAACTGATCAATGCGAAGATGTGTTAATAGTGGGCAATATGGCTGTTGCTAGTTGTCTGTTAACCGGATACTTAAGATATTCGTCCGATAATATTTGTGGTCGACAACTATTGTTGTTTTTAAATAAAACTATCTTTTCGGATTTTTTCGCGGATTTATTTTGATTTTTGGTTTCTAACATTTGGAATGCTTTACACTCACTTTACAGCAATCACGGTCACGGGAGAGACTAACATTTTAGACGTCATCATATAGTTGTTACAGACAGCCTTGAGCAAAATTACAAAATTCGAAAATACAGCTCAAATTAAATAAATAATATTTCTATATTCAATTATAAAACTTATTAAAATTATAAGTAATGTTTGAAATTAAAATTAACAAATATTGTAAGATACTTTGGTGACATTTTTGTATTATTCGTCCGTCTTTTGACCGAATAGACACTTCGGAGCAATAAGAATTCCATTACATATACGATTTGACGACACGTTTGATCCAGTTTGTAGTAAACCTACTGACTGTGCCAGCGGTCGTGGGTTCGAGTCCCGACGGCGGCATTCATTTGTGTGATGAGCACGAATGTTTGTACACCAGTCTTTGGTGTTTATATTTATAACATGTATCTACTTAATGTGTCAACTATCTGGTATTCATAACACAAGCCCTGTAGCTTACCATGGAACTAGATGGTGCTGTGTTAATGTCCCAATATATTTATTTATTATTTACACATTGACTCAAAATCTTCAGAGTTCACTGAGCATGAAAACTTCTTTATTCCAGGTTTTAGTGCACGTGTCTACTTCATACGCAAACACCAATAGAGCGCGTATAGACGAAGTAATATATCCGGCGTTCGCTGACTGGAGGGATACTTTAGAAATCTGTGAAAAATTAGATGAAAATACGTTAAGAGTCTTGACTCCTAAGTATGTGTTTTACATAGTATGCTTAGTACAAATATTTTATACTAGCATTGCCCGCGGCTCTGCCCGCGTTGAGTTTACCAAAAACCAAATTCTTAGGTTTTACATATTCGTATTCTCTTACATTGCAATTTTTGTAATTTTTTTTTCAGAAATAAGATATTTTCTGCGGTAAAAAGTATCCTATATGTTGACCCGAATAACCAGCTATCACCATACCAAATTCCATCAAAATCCTCCAGTGGTTACAGACAGACAGGAAAAAATTCTAAAAACTACAGATTCGGCTTCTGAATTGATAATAATGTTTATTTCAATAAGATTTTCCAAATAATATTTAATATACAGATTCGGCTTAGTTACAATTTTATTATATGTATAGATATAGCTTTGTAATACGTTAAGGTACATTCTATAGTAAGGATGTCTTGCAGCAGTAATTCTATAAAAAAATTATCGCCCAAAATTCTAGTAATTTAAATAAATAGCACATTTTGTGCCATCCATAACTAAAATTTAAAAATTAAAAAAAAAAACATCATTGTTACGATACGGATTAGTTATCGAACAACTTTTGGTCTCGTACATCAATTTTAATAAAACTACTTTAACAAATACTAATACCAAAAAGCAAAAATCTAAAATGGTTTCTTGCATTTCCAGATATTTAGGAGAGCTTCCGAATACTTATGTATTTACGAAGCAGTTAGCCGAACATGTGATGTGGGAACAGAAGGGGAAGCTGCCAATTATTATCATGAGACCATCTATAGGTAAGTAATATCTAGACCCTAAGCGATCGTGCGAAGCCCCATTAAGACGGGGGAGGTTCCGTTGGGTTTTAGTGGGTAGTACTGGCTTTGCTGATAAATTCCACATAACCACCTGTACGTATGCAGGTGGTATGCCTAAATGCTTTTCCCAACCTTAAAAAATAAGGTATAAGCTGTCTGCATTCCTTATTTCCTTCAATCACGTTTAGCTGTTTCAACGTGAAGTACAAACAAACATTCATATAAAGCGATTTATTTTTATTATTTCAGTTATATCCAGCGTAAGTGAACCGGTGGCGGGGTGGGTGGAAAATTTGAACGGTCCTGTCGGAATGCTGATTGCTAGTGGCAAAGGTAATATTTGCTAGTACACATTTTAGAGTTCAGTATTTTCTATATAAAATAACGAATTTTGTCTATCTGTCCGTCTACCACAATCTACTATCTACTGGGCGGAAAAATAAAATATGATATCGTTGTTCATTCATACTAGATAAAATTATTTTTTATTAAATCTATACTAATATTATAAAGAGGTAAAGTTTGTGAGTTTGTGATGTTGTAGGGTAATCTCTGGATCTACTGAACCGATTTAGATGAAATTTAGTAAGAAGATAGTTTGAGACCCTTGAAAGGACATAGGATACTATTAATCCCGGAAATCACTTCTTAATGGGGTGAGAATGGGGATGACAGTTTGTATTGGGAAGCAAGCTAGTTTAATATAAACCAAATTACAATATTAGCCAGAGATGGCATGGGTTGTGCAAAAATAAAAGCTTTTCCTTACAAAAGTAATTAATTAAATGCAGAGATAGTAGCGTTACTCTACCACCTTTTTTATTCTTGGCTACTACTGGATACTTGCCAGGAAACCTTAATACTTGACCTCATTTGTCTAACCCGGGACTCGAACCCAGGATCTTATAATCTTTAGAAATACGCAAGTGACTAAACCAATTACGATGCAGTTAGAGTAGTTGATAATTATTTTTATAGGTATCCTACGCACTCTCTATACTGATCCAGATTTAGTGTCAGATTATATACCAGTGGATGTGGCGATAAAGGCGTTCATTGCAGGTGCTTGGATTAGAGGAACAAAGAAGTAATATCAATAAGTATTTTTACAAGCTTGGGTTTTACAGTCGGGAGTTATAGCTGGTTTCTGACATAATATAATATTTACATATTTTATTACTATACCGTACTCGAAAATAAATAATTTAGATGCTCACGTATACTTGCCGTACTACTTATCTTTAAACGAACAATTCTTATATATATATATATATATATATATATATATATATATATATATATATATATATATGAAATTTAGTATACATAGGGTTTCGGGGGCGATAAACCGATCTAGAGTCTTATGTCTGAGAAAACGCGTGTTTTCTAGCTTTCATGCAGTTTTCTTTTGCATTATTCCACGCAAAATATGGTCGGTAATATGCAAGCTCGGGTATAAGCATCGTGGTCCAGCGACTAAGTCGCAAGATTGATACTCAAGTGTCCGGTTCGAAATCCGGTTGGTTTTTTTACTCTTTTTTTGTATTTATTCGAGATTATTTTTAAAGAAAATTGTACCTTTTGGCTAAAAACTCCGAGCGAAGCTCGGTCGCCCAGGCACTATCAACAAAACGCCTTAGTTCTGTCACTGACCACATTTTCCGTCACTAGTTTTACTACCATTATCATTTTTAAATTTCGCTTCTTCGTTTACTCTTATTTCCTTTTTACGCGCGCACTCACGAACGCACACACGCACGCACGCACGCAAGCGCACGCGCACATTTATTGGTCATTGTTCACGCACAAACATTGGTATTAATCATAATGGTTTATCGTAATTTGTGTGATATACCAGAAATATCCAAAATCAATTTTCAGCGATATCAATATTTTCGAAAGCATTTAACAATATTTTTTGAGGAAAGGTGGAGGAAATTCTATTAATATTTTAAAAACAAAATTATTAATATAATAAATGTTATGTTTTTTTTTATTTAAGTATTCATTTTTAGTTTTGACTAGCATTGCCCTCGGCTCCGCCCGCGTTCAGATGACCAAAAACCAAATTCTTAGGTTTTACATATTAGTATACTCTTACATTGCAGTTTCTATATTTTTTCTCAGAAATGAGATATTTTCCCGCAGTATTGTCATACTAAATTTCATGAAAATCCCTAAAGTAGTTTTTCTGTGATGCGGTAACAGACAGACAGACAGACAAAAATTCTAAAAACAATAGAATCGGCCTCTGTGCCGATAATAATGTCTATTTCTATAAGATTTTCCAAAAAATATTTAATGTACAGATTTGACTCAGAATTTTATTACATGTATAGATTTATTTAAGGATAAACAACAAAAGATACATAGAAATCGGTATGGTACTCATGTGCTAACAATTTGCAAGGTGCAAGTTTAATTTAAAAAAAAAAACAATAAGAAGTTAACACATAAAATCGAAATTAAACTATAAAATTAAAAATATGTCAATTGAAATATAAAAAAATACATATAATTAGAAAAAATTAGATTTAGAATTAGATTAAATAAATTATTAAATATTTCAGATTTGAACCTACAGACGACATCGAAGTATATAACTGTTCGACTAGCCACATAAAAACTATGACGATGGGAGAAGTAGTCGAATTTGGAAGAAATATTGTAAAAGAAATACCGATTGAAGGCATGCTTTGGTCCGCTGGTGGTTGTTTAACGACGTCCAGATTGGAATTCAACTTAAGGGTACATAGTATATGATATTCTAATCCCTTTCAACGATTCGTTTATCTCAGTTTGTAGTGACCCTACTTGCTGTGCCAGCGCTCGTGAGTTGGAGTCCCCTAGGAGCACGTTTGTGATGAGCACGAATGTTTGTACTGCAGTAATGGATGTTTATATTTATAATATGTATTTATTTAAAGTTATATATGTGTAGTGTATCAACTATCTGGTATCCATAACACACGCCTCGTAGCTTACCATGCAACTAGATTGTGCTGTGTGTTAATGTCCGAACATATTTATTTTATTTATTTATTTTCCTATACCACTTGGCTTTTCTTGTAATTTTTCGCCAGATAAGTTTATTTTGGGTCGTCGAGACTTCTACCTCGGCATTATTCAGTTAATTTTTCATAAGAAACAATAATATTAAAAGAGTTCGTCCTTTTTTGGTGTTTAATTTTATTATTTGTCTGGTTACATGACTTTCGGGTCTTCTCATTATGTGATGGTACCATTTTAAATAAAACTATCTTTTCGGATTTTTTCGCAAATTTATTTTGATTTTTGGTTCCCGACGTTTCGAATGCTTTACAAGGAATTAGGTCACGGGAGAGACTGAGGTGTTAGATGTCTCAAAGTAATTATATAGTTGTTACAGACAGCCTACCCACAAATAACAAAATAAGTTCCCAAAATTGAAAAATGGCAACAAAGTAACTTACAATGTTACATACGTTTACACGCTTTATTTCTCACCAATCGTGTCGAACTGTTGAGTTGTCGTCCCATCAAAATATGGAAGTTTAAGGAACAGAGAGACTTGTACTCTACAATTTGTCACGTGCAGCTAGTCTCGGTGAGGTTTTCGACCGAAAACAAAATCGGCTGGAAACAATCTTCTCCCACATATTATATTGTGCCTTTTTTGGAATATGCTCAACTGATAAAATTTAACAAATAATTTAATAAATTTTCTTTTCAGGTATTTTTCCTCCATTTACTCCCAGCTCTTTTAGTGGACATGCTTTTATGGATATCTGGTAATAAGCCAATGTAAGTAATAACATATATATATATATATATATATAACATATTAACAAACACGACTTAGGGGGGTTGTCACAAAAAATTTGCTTATTTATTAATAGGCTATTTTTAATTAAAAAAAATATTGTTTTTTTTAAGTACAAGTACTTTTTTCCTGTAACAAATTAGTACCAATCGAAAGTAAAAGAGTTGTAGAAAGCGCCATCATACGTTTAGAGGCCTTTTTCGAATATTACCTAACATCCATGTACTTATAAAGGTATAAACAGGTAAATTGAAGTAGTTCATTGCTCGTATTGTTTTCTGAAACGAACTAATTATCAAAATGTTGATCATTTTATAACAACAAAAATGATATAGGGTTGTCATACCAAAACATCTCTAGACTAGAGGTTTTTGTCTGGAGGAAATTTTAGTGACAACCCTTCTGAGTCGTGTTTGTTAAAATGTTTTATAGTTTAAAAAATATATTTTGCCTGGAAAAAGAATGAGGTGTCCACCACATAGATTAGTGTCTTAGACTTTATAATATATCATAGTATTTAAAGCTCAATAGCTTTTGTTAAGAAAGGTTTCCGCCAAAAAAGTCTCATTAGCGGCTCTGGTTATGAAGTTTTTTTTAATAAGAAAAGGGCTTACTTTCGACCTTCATCTTAGCTAGAAGGTATAGATAAGGTCTACGATGTAGTAAGTTTGCCAAGGAGAAGCCTGTTAACAGGCACCTTAAAGAGTTCCAGATTATACGCACTCGGAAAAACAGATGCAGGTTACGTATTGGTGCTATTGGTTACTTACGTGCTTATGAATAGAAGTAAAGCTGTCGACTTTGCATATGTTTAAGTCTCAGTCAAAACTTAGTATATATTTGCATGTTCAATACAAAAATTAATCTTAGTTGATAATCAAACCTGCTATTTTTAGCATCACTATAAAAGAAAGGCGCTTCCCGCTGTCCGTCTGTCCTTATGTATGCTTAGATCTTTGAAACTACGCAGCGGATTTTGGTGCGGTTTTTTTAATAGATAGAGTGATTCAAGAGAAAGATGTATATGTATAATACATGCATATTATAGCACAGAAATGCCGAGAAATTCAAACATTTGTATTTCCTACTAACCGTTAAAACGTATATAGGGACGAACCGGAGCGAAGCGATTGTGAGTCGCCAATTTACTAATAAATCATGCATAATTTATTGGATAAATTTAAATGAAACATGCACGTAGGTAGGCATAAGTAACAAAAAGAATATGTAAGTAAGAGAGTTAGTCACTTTAGAGAAAAATCTTAGAATTACTAATTGAAACTAAATTAAAAAAAAATACAGGCTGGTGAAACTCCAACGACGAATTTACTCAGCAAATCTCGCTCTTCACTACTATGTGACCCAACAATGGACTTTTACAAACACAAATATCCTGGAGCTTAGAAAAAAAATTAAAGCTCTAGATAGAAACAGCTTTTACTACGAAATGGAGAAGATTAATCAAGAAGATTACTTCAGAAATGCTTGTATTGGTGGGAAGAAATATATTTTGAAGGAGAAGATGGAAAATTTGCCGAAAGCTAAGGCACATATGAAGAGGTAATTTTTAACGCTGTCTTTTATCTCGATAGAGAATCGTAATAGGATAAGGCTTTCCATATATCAGAATTAGAAAAATATTTCAAGATATGACCATGCGGGAATAGAACTCGGGACTTTCGGAACATAATCCTTAGTATAATCCATACTAGTATTATAAATGTGAAAGTGTGTTTATTTGTTTGTTCCTTCTTTAATCTTTCACGTCCGAATAGAGTGACGGATTGGAATGATTTTTTGTGTGTCGATAGTTGAAAGGCGGATTTTTGTGTGTCGATAGTTGAAAGGCGGTTGAAAGTTGGAGAGTGGGTACTTTTTACCGCGGTAGATTAAATAATCTCCCGAATGAAATCATTCCCACGGGAAAACACGTTATAATACAATCCAAAAAAATATTTATGATCAGAATTACTTGAAACTTGGTATTAATGCTCTCCAATAAAATTAAGTAATACGTGTTTTAGCATTTTTCGAAATTCATCTTATAAGAAGGTGAAATAGGGGATGAAAATTTGTATGAAAATACCTTTTTAAAGATATTTCGTAGTTTTAACGCGAGCGAAGCCGCGGGTTCTGCTAGTATGTACATAAATTAAGGCGCATGTACGTACTTATGTATATATGTAAATAATATTACAAAAAAACAATGATAAGACACAATATCATGTAAATAAATTTTATAATTGACAATTTTAAAACACGCATGACGCACCTGATGGCCGTATTTAAAGAGTTTTCGTGTCATTGTAAAACTTTTTATGTAACTTTATGATTAAACAATAAAAATTACATATAGACGAACACAGTAGTTCCTCCTTTTCGGGAATTGGTTAAAAATATCCATATAGATGTTCTAGTAATGAAGCCAGGATCATAATTGCAATAGATATACCACCAGCTAGAAAAGCCAGTACTACCCACTAAAACCCAACAGAACCTCCCCCGGCTTAATGGGGCGTCGCAGGATCGCTTACGCATTCAACTACGGCGCCCCGACGGCAGGTCCGCCGAAGCAGACCACAACAAACATGGGGTTGCTCCAAGGTCCACTCTGCTGTCAGAGAAGTACCAGGAGCAACGCACATGGTACATCGCCCAACTAAGTGGGTCACCTCCCAGTGTATCTTTTGGTTTCAGGCCTGGCTGGACTACCGGATGTTAACGAGACCTCCTCTCCCCCTCCACTAAAAATAACTTGATTAACATAATAATCGTTGACTCACTATAACAAAGTTCTATGTTACAATTTTAATACTTATTTAGTTATTAATGCTACAAGGTTCTATGTGTCATTAGCTACAGTTTTGCAAAAACAAAACCACTAGATAGCGGCACTATAACTACAAAATATTCAATTTTACATAGTTCTATGTTGTTTTTTTTACGATAACAAAATTACGAATTTCTATGTAAAAATTACTGAACTTCATTAAAATTAACATAGAACCTTGTAATAGTGAGTCAACGATTATTATGTAAAGTCTAAGAAAATTAGCAAAAATTAATTAACTCAATTTGGTTTTCAGAATGCAGCTGTTAGACTTCGTTGTACGAAATGCGTTTCTTGGATATTTGTTCTGGTTTGTTATAAATACTGACTTTGTAATGGGCATACTGAAGTCATGCGGTAATTTATTGTTTTGAAGAAAACAAATAGAATGTGCTGTATTGACATTATGTAATAAAATAATTTGGTTGAGCAGTGGATTTTTTTTTATTTTTTTTTTATTTTTATACTATTCTGAATTAGTGCTTGACTACGTTCCACCTGATGGTAAGTGGTAACGCAGTCGTAGATGGTAAGTCGCACTAATTCAGTAGCCACCTATTCACTCTTGCCTTGAAGACACCCATGTTGTAATCGGACGGAAACACCGACGCCGGCAGGTTGTTCCAATCCTTAGCCGCACGTAAAAACTATTAAACCTCAAACTAAACTAATCTGGTTTTTTTCCTTGTTTGTTAACTTAACTTATTATAAACGTGTAATTTCATGCATTGAATATGTAATATAATAATAATAATGGAGAATAATATACGCCTGATATGAGAAGGTACTAACTAACTAGCTCCTGAAACACAGTTTTCTAGTTCAGGAGTTAGGGCTGTGTGCATTTGTTACCATTGTGTTATTTGAATAAAGCCTGTTTTTTTCTTATAAAGTATCATACCTCATAAATGCTGAAAATCAGACAACTGTAAGTTAGATTTGGGCACCTAAGGTTCAGTACCTAATATTAAATTTGTTATTATTTCTTATTTTATATATAATGGCAATAGAAAGATGTGCTTATATTTTTTAAGTAAACATGTTAATATACATTCATTTCATTAAAATATCAGTGACGTCCAAATTAAATCTATACATATAATAAAATTGTAAGTAAGCCGAATCTGTACCTTAAATATTTTTTGGAAAATCTTATTGTAATAGACATTATTATCGATACAAAGGCCAAATCTATAGTTTTTACAATTTCTGTCTGTCTGTCTGTTACCGCATCACGGAAAAACCACTGGAGGGATTTTGATGAAATTTTTTATAATGGTAGCTGGTTATCCGGGTCAACATATAGGATACTTTTTACCGCGAGAAAATATCTTCTTTCTGAGAAAAAATACAAAAATTGCAGTGTAAGAGTATACTAATATGTAAAGCCTAAGAATTTGGTTTTTGGTCATCTAAACGCGGGCGGAGCTGCAGGCAATGCTAGTCTATACATATAAAAATACTAACAAAGCAAAATCTGTAGCACATGTAATATTTTTTTAAAACTATATCTATATTATTGTGTTCAGAGTATAAATATAGACCCCAAAACAATAGATATTTTTGTGATACAAACTTTTATCTGTTTGTTTGTATATTTTGTATAGTGATAATTTATTACTCGGGTCACAATCAACATACCTTTCACTACAGTAACATCCCTCGTTTCCACGGGAAACAATAAATGGTTCAGCTTATCTCGACACACTCAGGAGCTTCAAGTCACGGAGATGAAGATACTGAGGTGGATACGGAGATGAAGGCGTAAAGCGACACGTTCATCCGGGGTAGAACCGAGGTCCGTGACGTAGCGGATAAGCTCCAAGAGCGTCGCCTGAGATAGTATGTCCATGTCGCCTTAATATATTAAGCTTAAGCCTTGATATATCTGTCCCTGGAACTAGACTTCCCAGGCGCCCAAGATAGCGATGACTGGACGTCGTGAAGCAGGACATGAGAATCATTGGACTTACCCAGGATAACGCTAAAGACCGTGCAAAGTGGAGAAGGCAGAAAACAGACCCTGGCAATTAATAAATGCCAGACGGAAGAAGAAGAAGGATTAATAATTAATATATTTAACAATTTAGTTCGGTAAAATCTCTCTCATTTCTCTTTCATGGGAAAATGCTAAATTTAGTTTGAGCGCAAGTCGCTCAACTATATTCTATATAAGTATAAAACGAAGTTACTGTCGACCTCTGTCTGTTTCTCCGCTTAATTCTTCTAAACTACTTAGATTTTGATTAAGATTCAAATTTTGATGCGGTTTTCACTAATAGAAAGAGTGATAAACAAGCAAGGTTTGTAGTTAACTATGACGGTGTTTTGTTAAAAAAACTGTTTTCATACGCTTATATAGCTAACGCTGGCTAAACCGTAATCCTTCCACGACCGCGGACACGCCGGCGTGTTAGTTAACAATAGATTTCTTAGAATTTTAATTAATTTCTTAGAAATTTACCTGCAGGTGTTATGAGAAACATCAAAACAATATATATATATATATATATATATATATATATATATATATATATATATATATATATATATATATAATAATAATACGTCATGTACTAAAGTACGTACAGACCGTACGTATCCAACGAATTTGATGAGCAAGGACAGGTCATTGGCTATGTTAATTTAAGCTAATGACCTACTTTAATTTTCGTGTGTTAAATTGTGTCAATGTAAATTAAGAAATACTATAGTATCTTCATATATATAATTCTTCTGTACGTATGTTTGTTAACCTACTCCTCCTAAAGGGATGGACCGATTTGGATGAAATTTTGTATGTATGGGCTCCTGGATGGTTTGAAATCACAATTGAACCCGGTAGCTGTCGCTGCAGTCGGTGTGCCACTAATCATCTCCTAAACGGCAGGGATGATTTTAATGATATTTTTTGTAATACTGTCTTAGATTTACGCGAATGTTTGACATTTTTAAATAAAACTATCATATTTTTTCTGTGTGTTCGAGTGCGTCGTTGTAAGTTTTGCATTCACAATTGATCCGTTAGGTGGCGCTACAGTCGGTTTGTCACTAAATTTTCATAAGACTCCATTTTCCGAGCAATAAATAAATTTAAATTGTTGACTTTAAATAAAATAAAAATCGATGTGCATATGTATGTTTCCTATGGACTCCAAAACAGCTGGAGCGATTTTGATGAAATTTTCAGGTAATCTTCAAATCAGCCCAGCGGATGAACGTGTGAATTTTGTTAGCGATCGGAAGTTTAGATGCGGGCAAAGCCGCGGTATGTTACCCAGTACATAACTATATCTAAAATATTTTATTTGCATAAACAGATACAGGAGTCGACAAAGTTTGTGGTCGAGGTCCCATTTTAAGCAAGTAATTTTTGCCTGTATGGAGATAGTCCGGTCAAAATAGACATTCAGCCTTGCATAAATTCCCAGGAAGCTTAAAAATTTATGTGAACGTTAAGGATACCATTATGATGCAATTATGAAAAGCCCCCGTCGATCTCATGGGTGGAAAACATTTTATTCAAGGTCAAAGTTGACGAAAATGTTTTTTTTTTTGGGATTTTTTAACGGTTTTTTTAATGATAAAAATGCTATGCTAGCAGTCTTTTAAATCATCTAATATTATTACCCAAGTATTATATATAAAAATCAGCTTTTATACTATAACGTAAGTAGAATTATGATTTCATGAAAAGGGTGTCTGGCAAGGGTTTGCCACGATGTTAAGTGTCTGGCATTGAATGACGTGATTTTTAATAATATTCCGAAGGTAATACCAAAAAATCACACTTTATTTTTTGACGAATTTAAATCGGTATTTTACACACCTTTAGTACCGTGTACCTGCCAAAGCCACCATAGCCTGAACTTCATAATGGTCCGTCGTTCTTATCTATGTTGGGAGCATGCGCTGACAAACTTTCAGCCTTTATAAAATGACGAAGGTCTGGCGTTCACGGGCTCTTCCTCTATAATGTTCATACACGGCTGTTGAAAGTTTACGTCGAGGCACAACAGATGGATGAGATCCTCTAAATATTTTATCTATACTAATATTATAAAGAGGTAAAGTTTGTGCATTTGTGACGTTGTAGAGGATAATCTCTGGATCTACTGAACCGATTTAGATGAAATTTGATAAGAAGATAGTTTGAGACCTTGGAAAGGTCATAGAATACTTTTCTTCTTAATCTCGGAAATCATCCCTTAAAGGGGTGAAAATGGGGATGAAAGTTTGTATTGAGAAGCAAGCTAACTAGCAACCCGAGCGAAGTGAGGGTGAGTCGCTAGTATTATAAAATGTCCAAAAACACGCTTTTATAGCAGATCAAACTAAAAATGGAAAATTCATATTCTTAGAATTCTCATTAGATATCAATGTATTACACGCAGATTAATAGTTTTACATATTAAATTATGTGCGTAATGATGTAAAAAGGCAGCGTACTCATGCATATTATGGAAAATACAACTTTAGTATATTTTAGAATCGTTTTTTCTCAGAAATGGTGAATTTTAAGAAAAAATATGTAAAGACAACTTTTGTAGATAATTGCATGATCTACAATTTTTGTCTTAACTATTTTTATCATTAAACTAACCGTTTCGCTAAAAAATCCAAAAATATACCATTTTCGCGAACTTTGACCTCGTATACAATTTTTTCCACACAAATCGATTAATCGATCAATCGATGGCGAATTTTCATAATTTCCTTATAATGCTATCTCTAAGTTTCATACAAATTTACAGCTTCCTAGGAATTTATGCAAGGGTGAATGTCTAGTTCGACCGAACTAACAGATCATTTTTATTTGTTATCGTAATTTTTTTTTTCATTATTTTTTTCCAGTAGTCGGCTTCCATTTTTTTTTACTTTTTCTTCTATAAAACGCTATATCATCGCCACATAAAAACTGACCTCAATGGTTTTAATAATTATTTAGGGGTAGTCTATAAATTTCGAGAAAAGAATAAAATCCTAAGATTTGAGATAAAATATTAATAATAATAAAAAAAGCCGCAAAAATATCCGAAAAATTAATTAAAGCGAAATTACCATTAAAATGAAATAATTGCGTTTTGAAGGCGCCATTCGTATAATTTTAGTTAAAAAGTCTTATAAAAATTGTCTGAAAACACCCTAACAGTCGAAAGTCGAAAAATAATTATACGCATAATCAGTCTGTAAGTTATTTTGTGTTCAGTGTGTATTTGGTTTTTGTGCTGAAGCCCCGTGTGCTGATAATAATGTAAGTAAAACATATATTTCTAAAATAACTGTTATTCCATGGTTTTTGATAGGATTGTTTGGTGATATAAGAATTGATACAAAAAAAATTTCTATGGAAACTTTTTTTAAGTGAGTATACCCCATAGACTTTTATCCGTGCCTTTTTTCGAGTTTTGGTTCCATTTTGAGTGGTTTTTTTTGTTTATTTTTTTAACGGTGATTTTGTGAAATAATAGCAGGACGTTGTTAACATCTACTGTAGCCTAAAATAGAATTCAATGCAATACATTAGTAATGTAATATATGCGTGCAATGAACTCGTATCGTATGTTATTATGTTTATTAAATCAGTATATCGACTTCCGAATCATTTGAAATTTAATAACAATTTTTGAAGTTATACTTCTTTTGGCATGTTTGGGAAAAATTATGAGAGTAAAATTTTTACGATGCGCGCACACCGACAGCCAAAAAGCGACATGATGAAGTTAGCTGCATTCCTTTTACAAATAGAGAGTTGTGACATACGGGATGAAATCTTTAGCTATTTTTGTTCTGTTATGCTAAAGAAGTACAACTTCTTACGTGCGTACATAAGTACACACACACGTTTTTTTTCAATCGGACTTTTCTATCGGACTTCAAAAAAGGAGGAGGTTCTTAATTTGGATGTTTAAGTTTTTATTTATGTATGTTCGGGCATAACTCCGTTACATATACACAGCTTTGCAAAATTATTTTTTTGTTCGAAAGAGGTTTGAGGAAAAGATCCCATTTAAATTAAAAAAAAAACCATCCCCAAATGTAGAAAATAGGGTATAATTGATTTTTCACCTACTGAATTTTTAAATTACTTTCTTTTTATTTTGCTACTACTATCTCTCCATACATATGTACAAAAAAATGGAAAAATAAAAACTAAAAAAAAACGACTTACAAAAATAACACTAAAAAGTAAAAAAAAAACTATTTCTGAAATAACTGCTTTGATTTGTATCGGCTGGCACCGACTTTGAAAATATCTGATTAGATATACTGTATCAGTTATTTTTTATTTTATAGTGTTTTTTTTTCTAATCACAATAGTTTGTATGCGTGTATGTTTGTTGCTCCTCTTCGCAGAAATGGCTGGACGGATTTTGATGACATTTAGTACACAGACAGGGTAACAAATAGATTCTTAGGAACCTAGAGGTCCGCTAGTAATATATTATGTGGATCAAATATGAGTTAAAATCATTTTTTTCTTTCAGATACAGCCATGACGTTTCTGGAGGAACGGAACTTTAACGATGTGGCCAGTATACCAGCATATTACAAAGGAAAGACAATTTTCATGACTGGTGGTTCTGGTAAGTGTATACATACACACAGTGTGTGGCTTAGTTTGTAGTGCTCCTACTTGCTATGTCAGCGTTTGCGAGTTCGAGTCCCGCTGGGAGCGGGCATTCATTTAACCAATGAGCACGAATGTTTTGTAGTTTAGTCATGGGTGTTTATATTTATAATATGTATGTATTTAAAGTTATATATGAGTAGTGTATCAACTATCCGGTATCCATAACACAAGCCTCGTAGCTTACCGTGGAACTAGTGGTGATGGTGGTATGGTGTTATTGTCCCAACATAGTATTTATTTATATTCAAATTCCTTTGAAGGTAGATGTTAGGAGTGTCCTTTGGGCACATTTATTTTATATACAAAATGAATTCTTTATTTGATTTCAAGCACAAACTATATTTCCTTACAATGTACATGTATGGCTTGGCTAAAAACCGGTCAAGTGCAAGTCGGACTCGCGCACGAAAGGTTCCGTACCATTATATATAAAAACGGCAAAAATAATATCTGTTGTATAGGAGCCCCCTTAACTATTTATTTTATTCTGTTTTTTAGTATTTGTTATTGTAGAGCGCAACAGATATACATCATCTGTGAAAATTTCAACTGTCTATCACGGTTCATGAGATACAGCCTGGTGATAGGTCCCGTTTTACCCTCTGAGTACGGAACCCTAATTAGTCAAATAAGTGCCTATAAGTTATATATCGTTGCCTCCTTGCTCCCGCTCCCCACTTAGGTATATTGTAGACAAGAATGACATATTATAATTCTATTACATAACGATTTTATTCCTCACTAGCAGAAAACTACGAAAAACTCTAAAAAGGTTGGTTTCATGCAAACTTTCCTCGCCTATTTTACTCCCTTATGGGAAGAATTTCGAAAAATGCTAAAACATTTATTTATTTAATTGTATTGAAGAATATTAATACCAAGTTTCAAGTAATTCTGATCATAATTATTTTTTTGGGTTGTATTATAACGTACATTCCCGTGGGAATGAGATAATCTCCCGCGGTAAAGAGTAGCCTTTTTTTCTGTCAGGAAAAACCCTGTTCCCGGGTACCCGCTCGCCAATGGGGGATGCGAGACGGGTTATGTGGGGCTCCTGTCGCGCATAGATGGTAAACGCGCGGCAGCCTACCCACTAAAAAGATCTGACAAAACACCTCCATCGCCTTAAGGCCAGGGCCACGGGTACCAAAGAGACTCCTCCGTGACCCCGACAACAAGTGCCTTTTAAGGCCCGTCCTAAGGTCAGGGGCTGAGATGGTCGACCACCCCTGACGGCCTCCTCAGCCAGAACGCTGGACGGCCAACCTCTCCAAGTCGACCGCCCTCTGGCAGTAAAAAGTAGCCTATGTCCAGCCTTCCAACTATATATCTCCACACAAAAAATCACGCAAATCCGCCAATCTGTTTTAACGTGAAAGAAGGACAAACAAACAAACTTTCACATTTATAATATTAGTATGGACTTCAATCATTTAAAAGATTTACACAGAATGACCTCATGTAGAAATGGAGCGATTCGATGTAAAATCATGACCTACAACGCTTAAAACAATACATAAAATACAATTAACAATAAGAATAAAAAACTATATTAACATACAACTCTGTAACAAAATTTGCATGACAAGCGGTTTTTTTTTCAGTATATAAGTACAATAATAATTACGTGTTGTTTAAAACTTTTTATTTTTTTTAACGTACTCTACGTCTATACATATAATAAAATTGTTTGTAGTTTTTACAATTTTTGTCTGTCTGTCTGTCTGTCTGTTACCGCATCACAGAAAAACCACTGGAGGGATTTTTATGAAATTTGGTATGATGATAGCTGGTTAACTGGGTCAACATATAGGATACTTTTTACCGCGGGAAAATATTTCATTTTTTAGAAAAAATACAAAAGCTGCAATATAAGAGTATACTAATATGTAAAACCTAAGAGTTTGGTTTTTGGTCATCTAAACGCGGGCGGAGCCGCGGGCAATGCTAGTTAAATAAATAAAAAATTGTAAAAACGCAAAACAATAATTAATCGTTTAGTGTTCAAATATATTATTATATTATACCATCGTTTCAAAATAACAATTTATTTATTAAAAATTATTTGAAAGCCGATTCTCAGTTACAAAAAAAAAACACATACTAATATTACGTGGAGGAAAGATTTTTTGTTTGTTTATTTGTATCAACCGAATAAGCTCCGAAACTACTGAACTGATTAAGATGAAACTTGGTGAGAAGATAGTTTTAGATCCTGGGGAGGAATAAGATAGTTTTTATGCCGGAAATCATTCTTTAAGGAGAAGTTTGTATCGGGAAGCAATCTAGTAGCTAGTATTAAAATAGAATATATTGCAAATTAGCCTTTATAAACGCTACAGGCGTTCGCCAGTGACAGAGACCATATTGCCGTTGACGTCCTCAAAAAAATACGACCCAATCACATGGTATCACCTTGTAGGTATAAGCTGGGTTACCATCGTCATCGGTTTTCAAATATAAAATTTTTAATCGGTTTCATTACAGGTAGTTAATTCAGTACCACTATTTATAAAATGGAAAGTGCTAGAATGAAACTACCCGCACGTACTTCTGTGATCGTATTGTATACCAATAATAATGAACATTTGACCCACGTCATTACGATGATCATCTATATATTAATATATTAAACATGTAAATAGTTTTAAATTACATTCAGGTGAATATTCTGCATGATTTAATCGTATTTTGACATTTTCACATTTTATGGCTTTATGGTAATTTAATGGTAATGCATGTCAGTAGTTTAGGTTAACTGATTTCAAGAAAGAGGTACGCAATTTATTAAATGATATATATATATATATATATATATATATATATATATATATATATATATATATATATATATATATACTAGCGGACCCGACAGACGTTGTCCTGTCTACACGTCTTTAATTTGAAAATTTCAAACTTTTTTAATAATTTTTTTGATGAAAATTATTATTCAAATTGTGAATCTAAACCATTCCCAGATCCCCTTGAACACACACAAAAAATTTCATCAAAATCGGTCCAGTCGTTTGAGAGAAGTTCAGTGACATACACACTCACAGAAGAATTATATATATATATATATATATATATATATTATATATATATATATATATATATAGAAAGTCGTATTGAAATAGTCATTATTATCGATACAGAGACCGAATCTATAGTTTTTAGAATTTTTGTCTATCTGTCAGTCTGTGACCGCATCATGAGAAAACCACTGGACTGGATTTTAATGAAGTTCGGTATGATAATATCTCATCTCTGAGAAATTTATACTAAACGTAACTAGAGACTACCCCGAGTGGAGCTAGGGTATGTCCCTAGTATGTATTATGTATATATTTTTGTATGTATTGTATATTTTATGTATGTATTTGTGTATGTATGTATTGCAAATGAAGTTCGCTTTTAGCGATAAGGCCGCCTGCTGTCATTTGCTCTTTTTTATGTGTATTTCTTATCTATCTTTTATTTTGTGTCATGGGATAGCTTAGCTAATGGAGAATTTTTTTGACTTTTGTATAAATGGAAATCAAAGTTAAATATATATGTTGAGACATTAACACACAGCATCATCTAGTTCCATGGTAAGCTACGAGGCTTGTGTTATGGATAACAGATAGTTGATACACTACACATATATAAACTTTAAATACATACATAAATATAAACACCCATGACTGGAGTACAAACATTCGTGCTCATCACACAATGAATGCCCCCAGCGGGACTCAAACCCGCGACCGCTGCCACAGCAAGTAGGGTCACTACACACTGAGTCGTCAAAAAGTTGTACATAAAAAGAGTATGTTTTCTAAACTGGCAAAAAATTGATTTTTTTATGTGACGTCATTATTATTGATAATAACGCGAAACTTGTTTACATTTTCAAACTCTACCTCGACTTTTCTAATTCCCACAGTCTGAGATTTACAGCAGCATCTTTTGATAAATCGAAATACCAATTAAAACGATTTATATTAAAGTTAAAGCAGAAATCGATCTGTACAGTTATAAAAGTTTCATCAAAATCAAAATCAAAATCAAAATGTTTTAAATTCAAGTAGGCAAAATACATATTTTTACATTAAACATAAAGAAATTTTCATCATATTTAAAGGAGCGGTCTCTTAGACTATAAACAGCATAATTAGAGATATATTGAAATTATATTTCGCCTTACTTATTTCAGGTTTCATGGGAAAAGTTTTATTAGAGAAGTTGCTGTACTCTTGCACTGATCTCGATCGAATCTATTTGCTGTTGAGAAATAAAAAGGGCGTAGCACCAGAACAGAGATTGGCTGAAATATATAAATCACATGTAAGTATCAATTTATCCAACTTTGAAAAGAAGGAGGTACTCAATACGGTTGTATGATTTTTGTGTGTATATATGTGTGTCGTTCTTCTTCAATTTATCGGAGCTATGGGCTGTGAAGAAGACTGATGAAGAAATATTGCATGCTGCAGAGATGAGTATGTTGAGTTGTGTGATGGAGTGACAAGAATGTATAAAATAAGAAATGAATATATAAGAGATAGCTTGAAAGTAGCGCCAGTGATTAAAGGTTAAAAGGAAATCTTCTGGCTCAGAGTTCTGAAGGAGCAAGAGGAAGACCAAAAAAAATGGGTAGATTGTGTGAAACAGGACATGAAGGAGAAAAGGACAAGTGATAAGGTGACGTGTACTAGGGTGATAGGGGAGAGTGGAAGAGAGAAAAAGTAGACATGGCGCTATCTGGATAAGTAGAGATCTGGCGGATGGCTCCGATCTGGTGGCTTTCTGTAAGATATTAATAAAAATTAAAATTTGGACTAACGAGTCCATCAGTCTATTGGGTCATCTAGTCTTTTAATAAACATACAAACTACTAAACATTTTAGTTTGGCATTTATGTCTTTTCTTGGGGCAGAATAATTAACTCTTTTTAATTATTTTCTTCTAAGAAATGACATATTTCATGAATATAAAAAGTATCGTATGACGTACAGATAAAATAACAATGTTTAAATCTGTCTAAAATCAAGATGAGAGAAATAAGAATAATAACAAAAACAAAAATAAGTGCGAGTCGAATTCGCACACGAGGGGTTCCGTACCATTGTACATGTAATTTTTATTAATATGACTCTTACTCTATGTATGTAGCGGCAATAGAAATATATACTCTGTGAAAATTTTAACTCTCTACTTATTACGGTTCTTGAGATACAGCCCTCTGACAGACGGTCGGACATAGTATTAAGTTTCCGTTGGCAACCTCTGAAGGTTATATTGCATACCTGAGTATGGAACTCTAAAAACAATAGAACGAAATAGAAAAAAGTGGAAAAAAATCGTAAGAATTGCTCATTTCTTAGTGAGTTTTGGAAAGTTGTAGGTACATTATGTAAAGAAAATTTCATGTTGATGAAAAATATATTTTGGCAAGGACGTTGCGTTGCGTGCGTTTGAAACTCACGATAGTTCTTTAAAACGTTTCTATTTCTTGATTCAAGAGATTCAGCCTTGATTAAATTCCTTTAAGCCATCTAATGTAAGACTCACAAAAATTTTATAATTTTCCATTTTCCAGTGTTTCGATCGGCTTCGAATAGACAAACCAGGCATTTTTGAATCAAAAGTGTTCTTCATAGCAGGAGATTGCAGCGAAATTGGATTGGGTGAGAGTCGATTTATTTATATATATTCTATTAATTATTCTGTATGTTCTTTGAAATCTTATATTGCATTAGTGAAACCCACGCTACGTTCGTTAAGTCCCTAGATGCATTTTGCGGGATTGAATTTGCTTTTTTTATAATAGGTACAAGCGACTCCACTCTAGAATAGTTTAGGAACACATAAAAGTCAAATGATGAAGAAAAACTTTTTTTTGGACCAAAAATCTTTGGAATGCATAAATGACAAACATACAAACATCCATTCTTATTTATATAGATAGATAGAAGCATGTATTGATATTTTGGCAAGCAATCAGCACCAACTTTTGGCAAATATGATTAGCCTATTTTCTACTACAGGTCATCTATCTGTTTACTGTACTTCATCGAAATCGGTCCAGCTGTTTGTGCGTGAAAGAGTAAAAAGCGTACATTGGTAATATTTCTCTTGCAGGTATATCAGACGAGGACAGAGCACTCATAATAAATAGAACACAAATAATATTTCATGTCGCTGCAAGTGTAAGGTAATATTTCAAATTTTAATTTAATGGTAGTAGTTTTTAGAATTTTTGTCTGTCAGTCTGTTACCGCATCACGGAAAAACCACTAGAGGGATTTTGGTGAAATTTGGTATGGTGATATCTGGTTACCCGGGTCAACATATAGGATACTTTTTACCGCGGGAAAATATCTCATTTCTGAGAATACCGACAACTGCATTGTAAGAGTATACTAATATGTAGAACTTAAGAATTTGTTTTTTTTTGGTCATCTGAACGCGGGCGGAGTCGCTGGCAATGCTAGTAATAAATATGTGCTTGTAAAATTCTATACGCATTACAATTTGCATTGGAGTTTAAAAAATACCTTTTACATTTAACTAAAACGTAAAAAAATATTTTTTAGTTTAAGAATAAAGTAATTAACGAGAATTAATTTTATTGTGAAAAAAATGTTTTTTAGTTTTTTTTAAACTATATTTTATTTTCCACTTTTTTTTTGTTTTTTAATTCTTTTTTTTATAAATTATTGTATTATTATCGGTCCTTGTTAAATGTGCAAAGTTTTAGTTCAATCTGAAGTTCTGAGGTCTACGAATAAATAATTCGTAGTTCGAGCTGGGTGAAAATCGCGTTCAAAGATTCCATCACATATAGATAAATAGATACAGGTGAAACAAATAAAAGCGTATTAATGAACTAGCTATCTGCTAGCTGATATTATCGACGACACGTTTGGCTCAGTTTGTAGTGACCCTATTGACTGTGCAAGCGGTCGCGGGTTTGAGTTCCGCTGGGGGCATTCATTTGTGTGATGAGCACGAATGTTTGTACTCCAGTCATGGGTATTTGTATTCATAATATGTATCTATTTAAAGTTATATATGTGTAGTGTATCAACTATCTGGTATCCATAACACAAGGCTCGTAACTTACCATGGAACTAGATGGTGCTGTGTGTTAATGTCCCAACATGTTAAAAAAATTTTTCTTATAAATTAAGCATATGTTTCACATAATTATTTAAGTTTTAATGCCATTTTCTAACTAAACTAAAGAGTTATTTCGATTGTTTATATAGGTTTGATGATACACTAAAAGTGGCAGCGAAGTTAAATCTACGCGGAACCAAAGAAATGTTGGAATTAGCAACAGAAGTGCGAAATTTGGAAGTGAGTATATTAAAACACTTATAATTCCATACGTTTTTCCATAATATCATATTTAAATCCATAATTCCGCCTACCATTTTATACACTGACTAGCAACTCACCCACGCTTCACTCGGGTTTGTCTCTAACTTGCTTCCCCATACAAACTTTCATCCCCATTTTCACCCCCTTAAGGAATGACTTCAGTAATTAAAAGTATCCTATGTCCTTCCCAGGGTCTCCAACTATCTTTTAGAGCTACAATGGACCAAAACTGGTCGACGTAGCTAGGGCCGACCTCGGCACCACACCCAACATTAATAATAAAAACTATCTTTTACCAAATTTCATCTAAATCGGTTTAGTAGATCTAGAGATTACCCTCTACAACGTCACAAACTCACAAACTCACAATATCACAAACTTTACCTCTTTATAATATTAGTATAGATTCCTCTGCTCTAAGGTTGCCTGGAAGACATCGTTTCTAGCGATAAAGTCGCCTGTCGATCTTCTATATATATATATATATATATATATATATATATATATATATATATATATATATATCTTTTCTTTAGATATTTTTGTGTGGTGTGCCATAAAGTGTTCATTATTATTATTATATACTAGCGGCTCACCCTCGCTTTGCTCGGGTTCGTCGCTAGGTATGTTTTAAATTGATATAAATAGTTATTAGCCATTAGCCAGCGTTAGCCATATAATATTTTTTTTCGTTAATTTTTCTGATGTTTTAATACTTATTATCCTATTCCGGACTAAGAGAAATCCAAAAAAAAAAATATCATAAAAATTGGTCCAGCCGTTCTTGAGTTATAAATGGTGTAACTAACACGACTTTTTTCATATATATGTATATTTACCTTATTTTATATTTTTTTCTCTGTATTAAAACTTTCCGTGTACCTTAAGGAACGTACGAAAACAAAAATTAGCTGAATTGGTCGAGCCGTCCTCGAGTTTTGCGCTTAGCAGCATTCATTTTAATTTATATAGATATATTATTTACATTATCGTTAATACTAGCGACTCACTCTTGATCCCCTCGGGTGCGTCCCTAGTTGCATAACAGTAGCCTATATATAACTCCAGCTTTTAGGCTATCTATGTACAAAATTTCATCCAAATCCGTCCAACCGTTTCAGCGTGATGGAGTGACAAACATACAAACTTTCGCATTAATTATAATAGTAATATTTTTTTATAGGCCTTCGCTCACATTTCCACATCGTACGCTAACACCAACCGAGATCCCGTAGAAGAAGTAATGTACCCACCCCTCGCAGACTGGCGAGATACCCTGAAAATATGTGAAGAAGCCGATGATATGACTATTCAGGTGCTAACAGCTAAGTGAGTTTTAAGTTTACAAAATTACATATTTCAAAAATATAGGATTACTGGCAGAATCCGCGGCTTCGCCCGCGTTCAATCTACAATAAATTTTGCTTTATATAATATTATTTGGATATTGTTCATACAAAAATACTAAAATCGCTTAAAAAAATTGGGGGTGGGGGTAGCAGGGTGAAAAATACTTTACGACCTATTCTCATACCTACCAAATATTCAAAAAATCATTAAAATCGGTCGAGCCGTTTCGGTGGAGTGCCACCACAAACACCGTGACACGAGATTTTTATATATTAGATTATAATTCACTAAAACAATTGCAAGACGATGGAGATATTAGTGGGGAAAGTAATACAACATCTATTTTTAAACAAACGTGACGCCCTTCCCAATATAATATCGAGACGAGCGTGCACTAAGTTAACTAACATAACTGTGCTAACAATCTTGTAAAATATTATTTGTGTCATTATCCGTTTCAACATATCCGTTTTACTGGACTGACATATCCGTGCTAATATATCCAGATTAACGTATCCGTATAACCATATCCGTGCTAACATACTATAACTAAACCACTGTTGAGTGATGCCCGATTAAACATACAGATAAGCAAAAAGTTCTCAAAAATAAAAATAAAACTATTTGTTAAATATTAAATTTCTTTTTTTATTTTGTTTGTAATTTTTTTTTGTTGTAAATTAGACTAAGAAACAATATTCTAATTATCGTCGTCTACGTTTTAACATTTAGTATAGATTTCTCAAAGATTAGATATTTTACCGCAGTAAAAAGTATAACCAGCTACCAAATCACAAAAAAATCTGTCGAGTGGTTTTCTTATGATGCGTTTCCAGACAGACAGACAAAAATTCTAAACCTATAGATTCAGCCTCTGTATCAATAATTATGGCTACTTCAATAATATTTTCCAAAAAATATTAGAATTTTATATATATGTATAGAAATGCCAAAAATAGCTTAAAATGTCCATGTCACTTGCGAAATATATTTTTTTTTATTTATTGTTCTTAATAATGTTTTAGATATTTGGGAGAAATGCCAAACACGTATGTATTTACAAAACAATTAGCTGAAAACGTGGTTTATGAATATAGGGGAAAATTACCCATTGTCATAATCAGACCGTCTATAGGTAAGTTGTAAATGAGTTTTTACATAGGTAAAATTGTGTTTTCTAACCATCCAAGAGTTGAAATATACGCACAAAATTTCATCCAAATCGGTCCAGTCCTTTAAGAGGAGTAGGTTAACACACGTACAGAAGAATTATATATATATATATATATATATATATATATATATATATATATATATATATATAGAGACTATATTCATTCATTCTCTCGTAGGTTACTTTTCTGAAGTTTGATTTCTACCATGTGTGAATTGCACGCACACACTGCTATTTTTTGTAATAATTTTGATATTGTAAAAGTATAACATTGTTATTTTTTTAGTTATATCAAGTGTAAGTGAGCCTACACCTGGATGGATAGAAAATTTCAATGGACCCACTGGACTCATAGTTGCTTGTGGAAAAGGTAGGTAACAAAAATATCTTATAGCCCAAGATCCCGCGACGATCAGACCTTCGTTATTTTATAAAAGCTGAAAGTTTCTTTGTGAATGTCCCCAATACAGGTAAGAACGATCCCCGACTATGAAGCTTGGATCATGGTGCCTTTAAAGATTTAAACTTTCAATATATTACTCAAAATTTCGATAATAGGGCAACATTTTTCACTATGCCCAGGGACGGCGCTAAGGTTAAATCCGGCACTGCATACAATATTACAAAAATCGCGATTAAAAACTAGGGGTGGGGGTAGGAGGGTGAAAAACACTTTACGGCCTATTCTTATACCTACCAAATATACAAAAAAATCATTAAAATCTGTCAAGACGTTTCGGTGGAGTGCGACCACAAACACCGTGACACGAGATATTTATATATTAGATTTCTTTTGGGAACAAACAAGCAAAACAATGATAATATAATATGTATAAAATAACACATTAACAAAACTGAATCGATAATGACGACACGTTTGGCTCAGTTTCTAGTATTGCTTGCTGTGCCTGCGGTCGCGGGTTCGAGTCCCGTTGGGTGCGGGCATTCATCTGTGTGATGAGCACGAATGTTTGTACTTCAGTCATGAGTGTTTATATTTATAATATGTACATATGTACTTATTTAAAGTTATATATGTGTAGTGTATCAACTATCTGGTATCCATAACACAAGCCTCGTAGCTTACCATGGAACTGGATGGTGCTGTGTGTTAATGTACCAACATATGTATTAGTAGCATTGCCCGCGACTCCGCCCGCGTTCAGATGACCAAAATTCAAACTCTTAGGTTTTACATATTAGGTAGTATGATCTTACAATGCAGTGTTTGTATTTTTTCTCAGAAATGAGATATTTTCCCGCAGTAAAAAGTATCCTATAATTGACCCGGATAACTAGCTATCATCATACCAAATTTCATCAACCGCCGAGTGGTTTTCAAAAATTCTAAAAACTATAGATTCGGACTCTGTATCGATAATAATGTCTATTTCAATTAGATTTTCCAAAAAAATATTTAATGTACAGATTCGAGTTAGTTACAATCTTATTATATGTATAGATTTAATGGTTTCCGATGTTACAATAATACATACATACATTTATTGTAAAGGAGAAAATATGAAAATCATAAGTGAAGTTAATTTTTTTTTGTTTTTTTATTCTGGATTTTAAATATTAAAAAAGTATGAGAAATTCCTTCTGTATGTACATATGTACTTGATGACTTTGAATAGCCTTAAAACGTTAACAAAGAAAGTATTATATTTTAATGATTTAATACGTAACCACTAATTTAAATTTTTAAAGTCGACATGTTTCTTTGTCTGTGAACATGTCTAATGTAAAGATTTAAAAAAAGTAACATTTAAAACAATTATTTAAGCACATTTCCCTCTCACTCTTGGCCAGTTTTATTGTATCTTTTACATGGTCATTTTACGAAATGGTCATCTATACATATAATAAAATTCTGAGTCGAATTGTATATTAAATATTTTTTTGGCAAATCTTATTGAAATAGTCATTAATATCGATACAGAGGCCGAATACTATAGTTTTTAGAAGTTTTTACTGTCTGTCTATCTTTCTGTCTAGGAACGAATCACGAGAAAAACACTGTACAGATTTTGATGAAATTTGGTATGATGATAGCTGATTATCCGGGTCAATATATAGGATACTTTTTACTGCGGGAAAATATCTCATCTCTGAGAAATCTATACTAAACGTTAAAACGTAACTAGGGACGAACCCTAGCGGAGCGAGGGTGAGTCGCTAATCTACAATATAACATGAATTATGTGACATTATCATTAATTTTTTTTAATATTTACATTTTTCCGAATGATTAAAGCATTTATTATTTTTTACAGGAATTCTTAGAACCCTATACTCAAAACCTGACCTGATATCCGACTATATTCCTGTAGATGTTGCTATAAAGTGCTTCATTGCAGCCGCCTGGGCCAGAGGTACTAAAAAGTAAGTATAACCACAGATTACATATCCAACTATGATTAATCGGCTAGAAGAATATCATCAATATCAATACATACCTACGTATTTTTATAAGTTTCATAAGTTCTAAAACTAAGTAATTTCTTCTAGAAATAATTTCAATGCCTATACTGATATCGGTTCTATATTAATGTGCCAATAAAATGTTTTTTTACAGGTTAGAGCTAAGTGATGATATTCCTATTTATAACAGCTGTGCAGGTAAATTAAATTCAATAACTGTCTACGAACTGATAGAGATTGGTGAGCAGGTGATCGCTGAAGAACCGTTGCATAATTCGCTATGGACTTATGGACCCACAATAACTACATCCTTATTTCTATATAATCTTCAGGTAATTCATATTAGTTTCTTAGATTTACGCGACATCTATACATATAATAAAATTATAACTAAGCCGTATCTGTACATTAAATATTTTTTGGAAAATCTTATTGAATTAGACATTATTATCGATATAGAGGACGAATCTGTAGTTTATAGAATTTTTGTCAGTCTGTCTGTTACCGTATCACGGAAAAACTACTGGAAGGGATTTTCATGAAATTTGGTTATCCGGTTTTTGATGCGGGAAAATATCTCATTTCTGAGAAAAAATACAAAAACTGCATTGTAACAGTATACTAATATGTAAAACCTAAGAATTTGGGTTTTCGTAATCTGAACGTGGGCGGAGCCGCGGGCAATGCTAGTTTTAAATAAAACTATCTTTTTGGATTAGTTCGCGGAATTATTTTGATTTTGGTTCCCGACGTTTCGAATGTTTTACAGCGCACATGGTCACGGGAGAGACGAAGGTTTTAGACGAACAAAAAACAAAGGTGCTATGTCCGGGGAATATAGTGGGTGCGCCAGAATTTCCCAGCCTAGTTCTGAAATTTTTTGACGAGTTCCCGAAGTAGCATGTGGTCTGGCATTATCATTGTGCAGTACCATGTTTTTCAAGTTGAATATCACCGGCCTCTTTTCTTGGACTGCTATCTTTAACTTATCCAATTGCTGATAATACTTCTCCGAATTGAGCTTTTCGTTCGGCTTTAATAGCTCATAATGTATTGATCTTCGAATGTCACACCATATATACAATACTCTCTTATTCAAAGTCAAATTTAGTTTAGAGGTGGAAGGCCTAGGTGTTCCGGATTCACAATATGCCCTTTTTCTTACATTGTTTTCGTACGTAACCCACTTTTCATCTTCAGGTTTACCCGATTTAAGAAAAGCACGATTTTGTTCCGAGCAAGCAGAGATGTGCATATGATGACTCGATCATCCAAATTCTTCTGACTTAATTCATGTGGCACGCATCTTAAATATTTCCACAGAATCCCATCTTCTGAATATGGTCCGAACTAGTTTTCTGAGCTGGACTAAGTTTTTCTGCGATGTCTGATGTTGTCTTAATTACATCGTCGTCACTCAAAGATGGTTGCCATTAACGTGGCTTATCAGAAGATCGATATCACCTATTTGATTTTTTTCGAACCATCTTCTGCATGTCTTATCTCAAACCTTCTCCAAACATTTTCAATCAATTTCTACATGTTTCTGTACCACTTCTTCCCTGTTGAAATTCGTACAAAATATAATGGCATAAATGAACTACATCAATAGCCATGATTACACTATCGCTTCACAGTTAAGACTACCATTAATCAGCTTTGTTTTACTAAATTTGCTACCTTAATATATATACTTTAATCGATAAAAGTAGAGAGTCAAACATGCGCCAAATAAAAATGTGCTTATATTTAGAAAATTATTGTCTTAGAAACGGACAGAACTTTCCGGTAAACCTATTATATTCGGCTTTTGTCAAGGTTTTATTAACCGGTTTTAAAACCGCGACACAATCCGAAAAGATAGTTTCGTTTTTAAATGTCAAATATAGTTTGAATTGGTTTATGTTTTTTTAGGTATTGTTCCTGCATCTTTTACCAGCCGTTTTAGTTGATGTGTTATTATGGCTGCTTGGTAAAAAAACCATGTGAGTTGAACTGTTTAGAATTTAAATACTTAGTACTTTCCATCCGTCCCTGAAATTCTTTAATAGAAAGCGTGCTTCGGCAAAAACAAACTATCAATAATATAAGCATTTGATTAAATATTTTATTTAAACTATTAATAATAAAAACAAATATATCCCAACCGTTTTCGGCCACAGTCTTTTTAAACTTCCCATCCCCAGATTGTTACTGAGAGTTTTTTGGCAGAATAACCCAATAACTAAGTATACATGGCCAGAACCCAGGCTCGAACCCAGGACCTCCAAATCTGCAGCCGTACATGTTAAGCACCAGGCCACAGAGGCAGAACTATAATATTAGTATGATTTTTATCAGACTTTTTTTAATCATACCAAGTTGTCAAAACCGTAAAGATAATATGTTTGTCTGAATGCAAGTAGTAAAATTAATAAATGGCTGTAAAAAAATGTAAATATAGTAGGTATTTTCTATTAGACTTCACTCTATTTCTCTGTAGAAAAATCTGAAAGAATGTAGAATTTCTTTCCACTTATAAGTTTCTAAGCAGTTATGGTCACTGAAAATGACTTAATAATGTAAAGTGGGTGTTTCAAAATGGTCACAGACTATGGTGTTATAATTTAAAAAACGCTATATTTACCATGTTTTTCATATGCTTTTATAATATCAAAAACTCACAAGAGTAAGATATTAAAATAAAATTAAAAAATTTAAGTAGCCCCCGACACAAAAAAAAAGTCTAAAATGTAAAGAAAAATTGTCTCTTGGCCTATTAAATTCGTTAAAAGTACCTATTAATATTTTGATGATGAGCGTCGCTTCATGTAAGTTTCTGAGGAATTGAACATCCCGCAGGCTAATTTATGCGAGTTGATTCTGCAGCATCAACTCAAGATTAGCATGTCTTGGAAATACCATAGAAGTAACAGCACGCCAAATTCCAAATCAATCGGATCTGTGAAAGTTAGTATTGTCAAGTATTTGTCAAGTAGGACATGAGCTGATCTTCATAAATTATAGCTAAGAACTATCTCGATCATGTCAACTTTCAAACCAAAAAAACTCGCATCAAGATCGGTCCATTCGTTTAGGTGCTACGATGCCACAGACAGACACACAGTCAGACAGACAGACAGACAGACAGACAGACAGACAGACAGACACGTCAAACTTATAACACCCCTCTTTTTGCGTTCAGGTTTAAAACTCATGGTAAGCCCCGTATTATATGACAAAAACACTTCCTCATACTTTATCTCTCTTATTTTTATAGGCTTGTCAAAATCCAACGACGCATTTACGCAGGAAATGTAGCTGTGCAATACTATTTGAATCAGCAATGGACGTTTACGAATACCAACTTTATTTCTCTACGTTCGATAATTAAAGAAGTAGACCAAGAAGATTTCTATTACGATATAGAAAACATCGACAGATACGAGTTCTTCAGACGGTGTTGTTTTATTGGAAGAAAATATTTGTTGCGTGAATCTGAAGCGGATGCACCGAAGAATAAAGCTCATTATGCAAGGTAATTTTGATTGAGTGAGGCAAAAGCGATCATGTCCGTCTCTATTTGTGTTTGTTTGTTCGTTCGTTCGCTCCATCGTTCTTTCATTCGTTTATTTGATTGGTCGTTTGTTTGTTCATTTATTTAATCATTTATTTTAATATTATATTTTTTAAGAATAAACTTAAATATATTCTAATAACACCTATGCATATTGTCATATTGTACATATTTAGAGAGCTTGAAAAAAATAATTATTTGAACTTAATAATTTAAAGTATACTCAAATTCACGTTTCCATCATATCTTTAAAAAATGTTATCTATACATATAATAAAATTCTAACTAAGCCGAATCTGTACATTGAATATTTTTTGGAAAATCTTATTAAAATAGACATTATTTTCGATACAGAGACCGAATCTATAGTTTTTAGAATTTTTGTCTGTCTGTCTATCAGTCTATCTGTCTGTTATCGCATCACAGAAAAACCAATGGAGGGATTTTGATGAAATTGTATAGTAATAGCTGGTTATCCGGCTCAACATATAGGATATTTTTTACCGCGGGAAAATATCTCATTTCTGAGAAAAAGTACAAAAACTCCATTGTAAGAGTTTATGTAAAACCTAAGAATTTGCTTTTTGGTCATCAGAACGCGGGCGGAGCCGCGGGCAATGCTAGTACAATATAAAGTAATTTTCGTGATCGATAAAATTAATATTTTACTTATAAATAATATTATTTTCTTTCAGACTCAAGTTCCTAAGTAAGTTACTAAAATGTATATTCTACGGCTTCATATTCTGGTTGGTGATGAGAACAGAGTTCGTTCAAAACCGTTTTGCTCCTGAAAAATAAATAATTTTGGTCTTGTGATAGTTTTATTTGGATCAGTAATAATATAAATAATATTTAAAAAATATATGTTTTATTACATTAACTAGGTGACCCGAAATCCACATTGTCCTGTTCTAGGAACAATTTTATTTGTGTGTTGTATAATTTTTTTGGCTTCATATTTAGTTCTATGACACTCTGTCTAAATTGTCCCCCAATCTAAGTACGAAAATTACAAACAGAACAGATAGTAAATGGCCTGGAGTAAGATATAAGATACTGTTAATAATAAATTTACCAAAAGATGGCGGGGCCTGTATAGAACATTACTTAAATACATATATTTTTGATTTTTCTCTCTCATCGTCCTAATTATACACGCTTTGATACACAGAGATCAGTACAAATGTCTCATCCTGTACAGAGAAATTGAACAATACTAATTCGGGCTATTTCCTATTGAAAAACTCCAATAGGATCATTAAAAGCGACAAAAGCAACAGAAATCAACAAATATTTATTGGTTTCTATGTGGTTTTTATCACTTTTGATGTGATCGTAGACTTTCCACACATGGAGTTTTTAAATAGGTTTGTTCGGGCTGTTTTTGTTTGTTTGAATAGATAATAGATGTCGTTGATTCGCAAATATTTTATTTTATAAATATGCGCAAACTAACGTATGGTAAACTTTGTAAAATTCATTCTGCATTCGAATAAACAAAAAACAATTCATAAAAACTAAAAGCGTGTGTATAGACTACAAACATGATTCGATTGCTAATATTTCAATTTAAGCAAATTTGGTTTACGAGCGCATTTTACCTTCACATAGAATATATTTTAAAACAATATTATAAGGTAAATTATTTAGTTTTTTATCTTTTGTTAATTTAACACCACTTGATACATATAACGTCATCGAATGATATTTTTAAGTATTTTTTTCTTTGTTCGTAATGAGACCTCGTGGTATAATGCAATTAATAATTATACGATTAATAACTATTTAACAAAAAATATCGGACTTCAAAATTGAAATATCTATTCATACAATAAAATTCTAAGTCGAATCTGTACATTAAATATTATTTGGAAAATCTTATTGAAATTAACATTATTATCGATACAGAGGCCGAATCTATAGTTTTTAGAATTTTTGTCTGTCTGTCTGTCTGTTACCGCATCAAAGAAAAACCACTAGAGGGATTTTGATGAAATTTGGTGTAGTTGATAGCTGGTTATCCGGATCAACATATAGGATACTTTTTACCGCGGGAAAATATCACATTTCTGAGGAAAAATACAAAAACTGCAATGTAAGAGTATACTAATATGTAAAACCTAAGAATTTGGTTTTTGGTCATCTGAACGCGGACGGAGCCGCGGGCAATGCTAGTTGGAAATAAACCCTTAAAATGTTTTAATATCATCAAGATATGTAAAGTCCGTTAACCTGCGCTTTGCCAGCGTGGTGGACTATGGCCTGATACCCCTCGTATTGAAAGGAGATAGAAGATAATGAATACAGAAAAAATGGTAGGTAATAAGGATAAAATAAAAAAAATAAAACATTTTTTTTAATTTCATTTTTTAATTTCATTTTCAATAGACAGTAAGTAGATAACCAAGTACCAACAGATAATGTATACTTACTATACATTGAAAATTATTTTTATAAAAAATACAAATTATCTTTTATATCACAATTTGATTTGAGTTTTTCCTTAGAAATAAATTGGATTCAATTTTCGTATGCCCGATTTCTGAGATACTCATCGACAGTTTATCTATAGATTTTCTACTAATGATATCGCTAATAGAAACAAGAATATGGATTTGACATATGTTAGCGCTTTAATATGTCATTGTCAAAAAAAAAATTCGATTTTCGTATCGATTAGACTTAGGCTTAGACAATATGTCATTGTGCTTCTTTTTTTAAATTTCTATTCTTTAAAAAATGTAGACTGACATCTTATACCTCTTGTTCTAAATTTTATTTTTTCTTTCTTTAACTAATTTATTACCTGAGCTTTATCGATTTAACTGCGATTATTATGTTAAATACAAAATATTTCCAATATAGTAAGCAAATGGGTATTAGTTGAACCTATTTCGGATCTTAGACTATAACGAAGTTAATGAAAATTTTGACAATGACAATATATCTAAATTTTAACGGTTTCAAAATTGTCGAATTTATAAATACATCTTGTTCTTAGCTCAGCTCATCAAAAACGCTGAAAGCCTCAGAAGACGAACATAAGACCTTCATATACATACAAATATAATATCGAATTGTCTACAAACCACAATTATTTATCAAATTATAAAACAATTATATTTCGTAAACAACTAACTAAAACATAATCTAATTCAATTTCACATGTCGATTATATCACTCATTAAAAACAAACATGTTCATACAATTGAGCACATTTTTGCATTTGCAAGATTAAATTGAATTCTTACTATATTACTAATCATACTAAAACTAGCTAATTACAGGTAGATGATGGTATAAAAATATAATATATAAGTATTATTGAAATTAAATAAATTCGCTGGTTTCCATTATTATATAAGAACAAACCCACTTAAAATATAAATTGTTGTTAATAAATTAAATTTTTAATCTCCGATTGAATAATTTCTGACTTTGACAACCTGAACTCTTGTAATAATGAAATTGAGTTTCTGTAAATGCCAAAAATATAATAGGCTTTAGAACTCAGATTCAGCTTTTTTATATCAGTTCCTCAAGATCTTACAGATTGAGAGTTTACTGGCAACACCTAAGAATGTCTTATACAAACTAAACGTTACAAAGGCAAGAAAAAAGTAGCTTTTGGCACCAGTGGGATCACTGTTAGAAACAAGTAGTAGAGTAACAGTTTGAATTTCCACTTCTTTAAAAAGTATCTTACTAATAATAGCATATCCCCGAATGCACACATTAGAGCTCCTTATTTTGTGTTTTACTGGCACAATATTGATGTTAAAGTACACAAAATTAAGCTCAAATATTAATATAATTTGTACAGGATAGAAAATCCAATCAATTTGATGATGGATTATTGAAGTAAATGTGTGAAAACGAAACAAAACATGTCACAACATGTCAAATAATTAAAACTTCGAATGCTCAGGTAATTTTAAGGAAAATGTTGATAGCTCATTCAACATCTATATACGCATCTCTTTGTTTAGATCTATCAACATAATAATCGAAGTCGCTACCATCGTCTAAGACTTCTAAATATTCTGACTTTCCTATTTTACCGCTATCACTTGAGTCACTTTTATAGGCTTCATTGGTTTCATCGTTAGTCTTATCGGTGTTTATAAGAGAATCTCTTCTATCAACATCAAATAGTTTGTGTGTGAACTCCTTTATTCTGTCAGTGTTGAAAAAACTCTCTTTCTCCTTTTCGTTATTACTTTCATCATTTTCACTTTCTATAAGTCTTTCATCGGCTTTCTCATTCTCCGTATCAGATGATAATGGCATTTCACATGGTGTATACACACCATCTTTGTTTATCACATGTTTGTTTACATGTTTACCCTTATCTAGCCATACATTAGATTTGAAATTATTTTTGTCATAGTTTTTGAACATGACCTTGAATGTTAAAATATACGATGTGACCAGGATCAAAACCGTTCCAGCAATAAAACTCAGGTACATAAGGCCTTTTTCAATGATAGGTAACACATTTAAGTAGAATCTAAACTTGATTTCCATCGATGTTGGAAGCGTGTACATTCTCTGTAAAATAAAAATTAAGATATATCAGTATATAGAGTAACAATATAAAAAATAATTAAATAATTATGTTTCAATAATAATCGATTCTTGAAATTTCGCTTTTAATTGTTTTAATCTTGTAAACAACCTTTAAATGCATTATTAGTAGGTTAGTAAAAATACAAAAGTACTTACAATATCAAACCATAGCAGAGGTAGATACATGTTGGCGAAGCGTTCAGTGTTTTTAATACCGGATATATCGCCCAGAGCCATGTTAATTTGGAACTTGGAACTGACATCCAATGGAAGACCTGAAAATGGTTCTATCCAAAAGCTGAAAAAAAAAAACATAAATTAAAAAACAAGTACACTATTTTCCTTCCTCTCCCACTCTCTAATTCATGGTAGACAAATCCAGTGACCATTTAAGCGCGACTCAAGATTCTAAACCAGGAACTCCCGATCATTGCCAATTGATAATACGACAGAGCGTTACATCACTCATTAAAAATACATTTGCTACTATTTATAAGGGAATTTTCTAATTATCTTACCTGGTCTCATGTTCCTCTTTATTAGGAGTCAAACCCTCAACTTTGCTGGAAAGGATCTCGTCTCCTTTGTAGAAATGAGGATAGGAGAGTGCAATAGGGAATCCATAGTAACAATCTGTTACATCTATCAAACCTTCAGGAAGACAATTACCTGCAAAAAAAATATATTTTATATTTACTACTTTCCCACAGATTCATCAGAATCTATTTGATTTATTTTTTCTACTAAAGGTTTTATATTAATACTATATTTTATTTAGTTGCATTTTTAGCTGTTTTGACTGATTTCTTTGTCACAGATAAAAAATAGTGGTAATTACTACGATTTCAATATTAAACCGACAGCAGTTCTAAGTACAATTACTAAAGGTACAATTACTTTTGGAAGTACTCATTTAAAAAATATATAAAAGTACAAAATTGAACTTTAAAAACAAAGATAGCTATAGCACACCATCTCCTTCTAATTTGAAGTTTTTTTAACAACTTACCATGTCTACAAAAACATTTGTTCTCTTTAATAATCTTTCCATTATCAAGCATATGTTCCGGAAACGTGTATTTATATCCAGTAATTCCATTTTTCACGCCTTCACCTACTGGAATCTGCAAATAATGAAAATGATGAACTTAGAGTTATTATATATTAACTCATGCTTAGTTTATTTATTTATTTTATTTATTTATTTATTATAAAGGCTTACTAACTAAATTTACATAAAACATATATTTAACATTATAATGTTACGTATTTGTATATAAATTTGGTTTAAAAGTATGCGCAGCTCTTTATAGAAGTATTCCATTAAAATTTTATGTGGTTACGAGTATATAAGGAGCCATTTCAGTTGTACAATAAACAAAATTCCAATCTAAATATTTAAATACACTTTCTTTTTAAATAAATTTAAAATATCAGAAAAAAATGTCTATATCACATAGCTGAATTATAAAATTATATAATTTAAAGCTTCGTAAGAGCGGTGAATTAGAACCGTATCTAATTTTTCGTTGTGGGATATGTAGTGGTAGAAATATTTCAAAAATAATGAAATTTTCTGGTCACTGAAAATTTATGGCATTTTAATGCGTAATCGCAGAATTCAGGATAGAATTAAGGTTTACTTTTAATTTTCTTCTTTACGTTTTTTTTTGTAATATCAACTTTTAATCTAAAAAAAACTATTTGAAGATATTTGAGGTAAAACTTCTTTAGGCGTGATTGAGGGGCATGTACTGAGGAGTAATAAATTGGAAAAATGAGTGTAGCGGAAGTGAGTGTAACGGAAGTCAATGTCGCGGAAGTGAGTGACGCGGAAATAAGATGAGACGGAAATATTCAAAAGTCGAATTAATATTTTGTATAATTAAAGGTGATTATAATATATGATAATATTTATAAAAATAAATATTTATTGTTAGTAATTTTATAAAAAATATATTATTAACATAAATAAATATTTATTATCTATTAATAATTTTATATTTTTTTTTAATTATAAACAATAATTGTTAATATTTTATAAATATTATCATTTATAAATTATTCATTTACTATTAATAATTACATAACAATTATTATTTTTAAATAAAAATAAATATTGATTACTAATAATTTAATAAAAAATATAATATCTATATATTATTTACTATAATTATTATTCATAAAATGTGTATTTTATGAATAATAATTACATGTATATTAATGTATATTGGGGTGTTAAGTTTATGTTTTGATTTGTTTTAAATTTTAATTTAATTGCCGTATCCGCCACGGCGCGGCGCCAAAGAAGTTTTTATTTTTTTGGTACAGTTTAGAACGACTATCCTTTGGAAATGACATAACTTAAAAAATATATTATGTGTAGTGTATAAAAGGTGAAGATATAGTGTAAAATACACAAAAAAAATATATCCTTAACCCTTTATGATACACGAATGTAATTATCGAATCGAAATAAAATATTTGTTTACATAACTTTCGTAACAAATAAAAATCCTTACAAATGTAAAAATACCACGGACCTGTGTTATTTTAAGATAATTATTATAAACCTGCGGAACCCGTGGCTTTGCTTGCGCTAAAACTACAAAAAAAACTTTAAAAAGGTAGTTTCATACAAACTTTCATCCCCTATTTCACCCTCTTATAGGATGAATTTGGAAAAATGCTAAAACACGTATTTATTTAATTTTATTGAAGAACATTAAGTAACCAAGTTTCAAGTAATTCTGATCATAAATATTTTTTGGTTTGTATTATACCGTGTTTTCCCGTGGGAATTAGATAATCTCCCGCGGTAAAAAGTAACCTATGTCACTCTCCAGCCCTCCAACTATCTCCACACAAAATATCACTCCAATCCGTCATTGCGTTTCGAAGTGAAAGAAAGACAAACAAACAAACAAACATACTTTCACATTTATAATATTAGCATGGATTCAGTTTAGTTGTATGTTTATTACTAAATTACGTTTCAGTAAAAGTCATGGCAAATATTCATTACAATGTGTTTAAAATGATCAAAGATATTTGCGTTTAACTCCCAGAGTAGTACAAATAACCTAATTAAATGTTAAAGAGAGTAAGAGGGAGAGAAAGAGGATGAGAAAATAGAGAGTTTAAAAAATTACAATCTATATAGCAGTAAGGAGATCTTAATATAAAGTACGAATTTTATTACAACCCCAAAGATTCGTAAAATCTAGTGACGTTTAGTTGAAGTTATATTAAGCACTAACGAAGATTATGAATTATGAACCGATTGAAATAAAACAAATACTTAAATGTTAAGTGAAGCTTATCACAATACATTAAGTGAAAACCGCATTCAAATCGGTTAAGCCGTTTCTGAGATTAGCGCGCACAAACGCACAAACTGACAAAAAATCTCAAAACCATTGTTTAGGGTTCTTTTGCGTTAATAAAGCCCCTAATAATAGTTTTTCTGAAATATCTTCCATGTACAGACGGCGATCAGTTACAATTTTATTATATCTATAGATTATAACATGTAGCTTACCAAAGGCGCAGCGCGACATAGACTCTTTCTGTAGAAGATAATCGTCTCATTCTTTTTTACTTCTCCTTTGAACTTTGTCCCATCAGACGCGTATTGAACATTAGAGCAATGTTTACCATCCCATTGTGGAAGATCAGTAGACCCTCTATACGTATCTATGAGACCAGCAAGGGAAATATCATCTTCTCCAGTGAAAATCGTCTCAAAATCACCCTTAAAGTTGTACATCTGAAAATGAAAATGTTTTGTTAAAACTCCGAATTTTATTATCTGAGTACCCTATTATTTAACTTCTCAGATAAAAATTAAAAAAAGTAATTTGATTGAAATCCAATAAATAAAATGAAGTTTTTTTTTAGAATTTTCCTACATCCTGTAAATATTTAAAAGCAACATCAATAGTTTGCGAAGAGTCTCTATCTATACATTTCGAAAGTTATTTATTGATCTTGGCACAAATAAAAATTTTCATAACTTATCTAAAATTAAAAAAAAAGGGTTACGGTGGCACATTTCTCGTTAGACCAATTTTGCTTAAATAATGAAAATATTTACCCGATCAATAAGGCCAAGTTTGTCAAAGGTAATCCAACCAGGCAAGAAGGTATTGCCAAGCGTCATCAGCTCAGATTTGTATCCCATCATGAACTCCTTGGCAGTCATCTTGGCCAGAGGCTGGGAGTCAGTTAGGCCTATGAGGTTATTCAGAGCGAAGCGTGTTACAAAACTTTGCTGGGAAACGACGTTTGCGATGGACTGTGAAAGAAAGATATAAAATTAGATCATTTTATCTATACTTATTATAAAAATAAGTCCCCCGGCCGCGTCTTTCTGTCCTCCTGTCTGTCCTCCTGTCTGTCTGTACGCGATAAACTCGAAAACTACTGAACGGATTTTTATACGGTTTTCAACAATAGAAAGGATAATTCTTGAGGAAGGTTTAGGTATATAATTTATTATGCTTTTATGTAAATTAGCTGAAATACGGCGACAAATGTTGAAGAGGTCGCAAAAAATCTCGCCAAATGGGAACTTTCCACGCGAACGCCGCGTAAACTAGCAAAGATACAGTTAAGTAATGTACTAGAGAATTCAAAATCTATAAAAATGCTACAAAAAAGTCCGCGATAGCATATCTCTATCTCTTACGGTTGACTTACAATAACCACTTTTATGTTAACATTTTTAATTAAAAACATTACGTTATTTTCAAAGTTATTTTCTTTAGTTCGGTATTAATCCTTATCCAAATGAATATTTTAGTTAGCTTAGTCATTTAATGCAGATTAAAATTGCTCTTTACACTAAATCAATCAGATGAATAGTTTTTGAGATATCGTTGTTAGAAGTAATTAGTAGCGAAACATTTTTAATGCTTGGCGAGCATTGAGATGCCTACGGCGAGTCCATCCCCTCTGCCCCGCATCGCTCGACCGCCTGCTCAAGCTATATAAACCGGGCGATGTAGCGCGCGATCCTAGGATACTTTTTACCGCGGGAAAATATCTTATTTCTGAGGAAAAATACAAAAACTGCAATGTAAGAGTATACTAATATGTAACACCTAAGAATTTAGTTTTTGGTCATCTGAACGCGGGCGGAGCCGCGGGCAATGCTAGATAATACTAAATTACTTGATAATCAGAATAGAGTTTTGAGTTTGGCTCCGTTTGTAGTGACCCTACTTGCTGTGCCAGTGGTCGTGGGTTTGAATCCCACTGGGGGCATTCATTTGTGTTATGAGCACGAATGTTTGTACTCCAGTCATGGGTATATTATAATATATGTATTTAAAGTTATACATATATCAACTAACTGGTATCCATAACACAAGCCTCGTAGCTTACCATGGAACTAGATGGTGCTGTGTGTTAATGTTCCAACCTATTTATTTATTTATAGAATAGCATATACTCTGGATTAGTAAAAAAGCTACAATTCATCCACTTGTCAACCACACAGGCAGAGACATGCACAAAAAGTAGTTTTATTACAATACTTAATCAATATCATAATTTTCATCTCCCCAAACAAAATTCTTTTAAAAACCAGTTTAGGTTCATTAGCCATATATTCATAATAAAAATGAATTTTTAACCTTTTAAAATAATAGCCAGTCGTAAAACTAAATAAATATTTGAATGGATTTTTATAAAAAAAAAACTAAATGTCACGTCCTTTGATAAGGATATTTATATTGAAGACTTGCAGTGCCCGCGGCTCCGCCCACGTTCAGATAACCAAAAAGCAAATTCTTATGGTAGGGGAGCCCACGAAGCTAAATGGGGATTTACTCGAGCGTCGTAGAGACCTATTGGGATGCAAAGCTTAGATGATAAGAAGAAAAAAATGTTATATGATATATACCTTTACATCGGTGGGGGAAGCGGCTATAGATTTTTAAATATGTAAAAAAAAACTGTTGCATAGACATCCTCGAGCGCGTCAGATATTGATAGCATAAATGCCCTACGTATTTTTAATAATGTACGTATGTTAATCTGATCGTTTGCATGATGCGGGTGGTTGTATTTAAGGGTTGAAAATGAAAAAAAAAAAATTTAATCGAGCGCGTCAGATTTTCTAAGGGAGTGTTAAGTGCACCAAAAAAAAGCTCTCATTCACTAATCTGACGATTTCGATGGGACGCAAACTCGCGGCCATTTTCATAATGTGCAAAAAAAAATCGCCATTTTGAAATACTCAAGCGCGTCAGATTAAGATATATATGGTTCATCTTTATGTTCTAAACGTACTGTCTCATAATCTGACGATTATCTAGAGGGATTCGCCTGATCTGACAAAAAAAAATTATTATTAGAAATACTTGCAAAGTTTCAAGTCAATATGACAATTAGAAGTAGGTTAAATTCATCATTAGTAGTTTTTCCACCCTTAGGGGTGGTATTTTTTTTTGAAATTTAAATGGGACCAATCTGGAAGTATACCCTTTCAAACGACACAAAAATTGTCCAAATCGGTTAATAAATGACGGAGTTCTGAGGTAACAAACATAAAAAAAACATACAGTCGAATTGAGAACCTCCTCCTTTTTGAAGTCGGTTGATAAACTAATACAACAGGGTGTGCGAATAATTCGAACTTACGAATTATTCGTTCCGAATCGAATATTAATATTCGATTCGATACTCGAATCGAATAATTCGAAAATTCGAATTATTCGAAAGTTCCCGAATAATTCGAAAAATTTCGAATAATTCGAACATATATTGCAAATTTAAAAAATGAGCAATTGTTTTCTCTGGGTAATTTATTTTTAAACGAAAAGTATATTATTCGTAAGTAGACTATTTTGACACACGATTTGAAGGAATTTAAATGGATACAATTGAAGATCCAGAGATATTTCATTAATTCGCGAATTATTCGAAAACTTTCGAATTATTCGAAATTTTTACGAATTATTCGAAATTTTTCGAATTTTTCGAAATTGATATTCGATTATTGATATTCATATATCGTCCGAATCGAATCGAATATTGATATTCGATTCGATTCGAACGATATTCGCACACCCCTAGACTCTTTATGATCAGCTGTGATGGTGTCATGGCGGCAGAAACCAGAGTGGGGACGGAGTGAGAGAGTAATAGATAGAGAAAGAGTGAGAGAGGAATAGAAACGCGGAGAAGGAAATGTAGGCATCACGCAGCTGCACGCATTTAACTTTATCGACGAATTTTTGTTATTTCGGCTTGCGGAAATCGTCAGATTATATATTTTTCATTATTCTTGCATTATTTCCTTCAAAATAAAAAAAATTTAGCTACGCTCGAGAATGTCGAGATGACGTTTTTTTTTACAACTTTGTTGCCCTCCCCTTTTTTTACGTCACTCTCAAATTGTCAGATTAGTGGAATATACACTTTTTAGGATGTAATTAACTCACCCTACCTTAATCTGATGCGCTCGAGAATTTCTGGTGGTCAATTTTTTTTTACTAATCTGATCCTGTATCCTTCACGGGCGGCCTTATATATGGGCCTCATGTTTTGTGGAGGTACTTAACCGGGTACAAGGTATCCCCCTGTATATTAATCTGCCGCGCTCGAGTAACTACAGAAAATCCCCTCTTGGGCTCCCCTACTATTAGGTTTTACATATTAGTATAGTCTTGCAATGCAGTTTTTATATTTTTTCTCAGAAATGAGATATTTTCCCGCAGTAAAAAGTATTCTATATGTTGACCCGGATAATCAGCTATGATCATACCAAATTTCATCAAAATCCGTCTAGTAGTTTTTCTTTGATGCGGTAACAGACAGAGACAGAAAAAAATCTGAAAACTATAGATTCGGCCTCTGTATCGATAATAATGTTTATTTCAATAAGATTTTCCCAAAAATATTTAAGGTACTGATTCGGCTTAGTTACAATTTTATTATATGTATAGATATTAAGATATTTTGCTTTGCTGTTGGGGAGTAGAAAATTTATGGTGATAGTCTTTTCTTAGTTAAAGTTCAAAAGACGCTTTTTTATATGGTCCATCAACATTTGAGAAGTCAGTAGAAGCTTACAGCTACAAATCGAAACGTCCTAGGTTCGGGTCTTGTGTCAGGCTATTTTTTTATTATTGGAAATATTATCAAGAAGTGTTTTTATTATTTTATTATTGTTTACGGTTTTACGCAAGTCTTGAGAATACTTGAGTTATTATTCGGATATTCTTCCTCCAAATTATCACAGAGATTAGTCGTTGTGACCAAAAATCGGTAAGGAAGAAATCAACAAAGGAATTTAACATATCAGAAATAAGATAATGGAAGGGTATCTTATACCCTCGATTAGCAGAAAGACTGCTATTTATCGATAAAAATATATGCCACGAAACACTTTGCAGTTAATGTTTGGGGCCAATTTTCTATCCTCATTTTCGATCAATCTACGTAGGATAAGTAGATAATATATTTTAAATAAAACTTTGTTTCTGGATTTTTTAACCGCCGACGCAAAAAGAGGGCTGTTATAAGTTTGACGTCGATGTCTGTCCGTGTGTGTGTGTGTGTGTGTGTGTGTATGTCTGTGGTATCGTAGCTCTCAAACGGATGGATCGATTTCGATGCGTTTTTTTTTTATTTGAAAGCCAGTTTCCTTGTGGTGATTCTTAGCTATGTTTGGTTAATATCGGTCCATCAGTGTTAGAGTATCAGCTCTTTTCCTTAGCATTTCACGCGTGCCAGTGTAATCGTTAAATGAAAATTAATTTGCGTAGAGAGTTTTTTAAATTTTTAATCTATAATCCCACCAACAGTCCCAACCAAAAATCAAAATAAATCCTTGATAAAATCCGGAAAGATAGTTTTATTTGAAATGTCAAATATTCGATTAAATCTAAGATAGTATTAAGTATATATAATAATTGTAACGCAATATTGTAAGCAAATAATATTTTCAAATATAAACTTTTTATTTGTCGAGTTTCTCAGCAGAAATTCCTTACGAGCCGATGATAGATAACAAACTTACATATTGACATTTAAATTGACTAAAAAAAATATATACTGAATATTCATAAACGCTCATAAACGTCTAGGTATTTGAATGGTATATCATTTATTTGATAATACTTCCCACAGATAAAAATGTAGGAAATAGAAATGGTATACGTTAAATGATAATATATTTTTTAATATAACATTTAAATAATTAATTTAAATATTTAAATTAGATATTTTTAATAATACCTCTATGGCCTTTCTACGAAAAAAATTAAAGCAAATTATTCTGTTTAGTAGCTTTTGTTAGTAATTCATATTTTTTTAATTTGTTTTAGTTATTGTTAGTAGATAAAAGCCGTCCGTAGAAAAAGGCAGTGGTAGCCCAGTGGTAACGCGCTCGCTCGGGAAACTGAAGTGAAGCGGGTTCAAATCCAGGGCCTCGCACCTCTGATATTTTCATGTGCGAATCATTTCTAACATGATTACCACATGTCTTACGGTGAAGGAAAACATCGTGAGGAAACCTGCATGTCTGAGAGAACCTAGCAAGTTCTCGAAAGACATGTGAAGTCCGCAAACCCATACTTGGCCAGCGTGGTGGACTGTGGCCTGATCCCCCTGAAGGGAGGCCCACCCCCAGCCGTGGGACGTTAAAAAGGGCTGAATACAAAAGCCGTTCCTCATTGTTACCGCAGGTTTAAATCACGTATTTGTAATATTAAGTTTTGTTTGTATATGCACGCTGTGTCTGCATCTAGAAAAATGCAATTCTGTGTGTTAATTTTGCAAGCTATTGTTATTTTATATGTGTTTGATTGTCGTTTCTTTTGTGGACCAATAAACATAAATATATGAATAAATGATTATCAGGTTTCATTTAGCACTACGCGATTCAACCTCGGTTCGCTTCAGGTTCGTCCCTAGTAAAAAAAAAACAAAAACAAATCCATCCCACGGGACCCATACATCTTCCGGGATGAAGTGTGTGCTATTCCAGACTATAACCTATCTCTTTGACAAATTTCATCCAAATCCGTTCAGCCGTTTTGCTGTGAAAGAGTAACAAACATCTATCCATCCTCACAAATTTTCACATATATAATATTAGTATAGATAATAATATTACGAATATACGTTAGTGTAATATTTACTTATATTAAGTTGCAAATTACGAAAAGGGTCATCAGTTTTGCGACAAACCGTTTAACGACAAAATCTGACACCGAAAATATCTTTTTGATTCGGCGTGATTGCAATAAGTGTGCCTGAACTCCTCGGAGATTAATATTGTATATCAGAAATGTTCCTTTCACGCTATAATTTACGACAAAATTTACATGTAATATATAAAAATCTCGTGTCACGGTGTTTGTGGTCGCACTCCTACGAAACGGCTCGACCGATTTTAATGGGGTTTTTTGTATATTTGGTAGGTTTGAGAATAGGTCGTAAAGTGCTTTTCACCCTCCTACCCCCACTCCCCATTTTTTAAGTAACAAGGGACGAACCCGAGCAGAGTGAGGGTGAGTCGCTAGTATAATTATATTAATTTATTAACTATCTCATAATATAATATATTATATATATCGAGCAGAGTGAGGGTGAGTCGCTAGTATAATTATATTAATTTATTAACTATCTCATAATATATATATATATATAATATATAAATATATATATATATATAATATAATATATATATATATATATATATAATATAATATATAATATATAATATAATATATTATATATATATATATATATATAATATATATATATATATAATATAATTATACTAGCGACTCACCCTCACTCTGCTCGGGTTCGTCCCTTGTTACTTAAAAAATGGGGAGTGGGGGTAGGATATATATATATATATATATATATATATATATATATATATAATATAATATATTATGAGATAGCTAGAAACAATAACTTACAAAATTACGAATAAAAATATCACAGGGGTTGTCTTTGATTGACGACACGTTTGGCTCAGTTTGTAGTGACCCTACTTACTGCGCCGGCGGTCGCGGGTTCGAGTCCCGTTGGGGGCATTCATTTGTGTGATGAGCACGAATGTTTATACTCTAGTCATGGGTGTTTATGTTTATAATATGTATGTATTTAAAGTTATATATTATGTGTAGTGTATCAACTATCCGGTATCCATAACACAAGCCTCGTAGCTTACCATGGAACTAGATGGTGCCGTGTGTTAAACTCCTAACATATGTATATTATAGGAAAAAAGTAGACAATTTCCCTTAAATTATGAAGCAATCACTGCACATTTATAAACACGGGAGGTTGTATGTATGAATGTGTGTATGTTTTTACTCCTTTAAACTGAAAATACTGAATAGATTTCACGTATTTTTGCTATCGTGCTTACATCATTTACAACAAACAGCAATTTTCTTAAATAGATCTAATCTTTAGCACTAAATTACACTGCACAAGTTATTTATTACGCGCCGCAAAAAAAAGCCATAGAAAACCTTCTAGAACGTTTTTTGTTATATTATAATGATAATATAATCGGACTATTGTTTTAAATGCTAAAGTTTGTTTGTTTGTTCAGCGGGACTCGAACCCGCGACCGCTGGCACAGCAAGTAGGGTCACTACAAAGTGAACCAAGCGTATGTATATATGTATGTTTGTATGTGAGTTTGTATGATTTTATTTATATTAGCTATAAATTACTACTGATTTCCGGTTCCGTATTCCGGAAACGTTAATATGTACAACCTTAGAATGTCTTTAAATAAATGCAAATTAGTTAAAACCGTATGTAAATATGATTAGCATTTAGCAAAAAGCTGTTTGTGATGATTTAAAACTAGTGATGTGCTCTCGCATCACTCTCTTGCTATAATATAATATGTAACTATCGACTCACTCTCGCTTCGCTCGGGTTCGTCCCTAGGTACGTTTTGACGATAAGTATAGAATAGATAGACTATATATAGCTTATATCCTTCCTCAATAAACGGGCTATCTAATGCAAAAAGAATTTTTCAAATCATATTAGTAGTTCCTGAGATTAGCGCGTTCAAACAAACAAACAAACAAACAAACAAACCAAATCTGTCTCTTTATAATATTAGTATAGATTTAAGTACTACGAACTTCTCTACATCTATTATTCGATGAAGTATCAGAGTAAATCTATGGTAAGTACTCTTTAAAAAATATTTCAGAAAGAAAGTCGCTTAGAAAGTGAAAATGTATTTCTCATATAATAAAATGAAATAAAAATTAAATATTGAAATAAAAAAACAATAAAATCAGTTCATTCTTACGCCTTTTTTAAAATTGGTCAAAAACAATATTTTCTTAGATTTACGTGAATATTTGAGATTTTAAATATATATATAATCCGAAAAGATAGTTTATCTTTTCGGATTTTTTAATTCTCGCATTTATAAAGGAGTGTAAAGATTAATAAATTAAGAAGCGAGGTCCCATACTTGCCCAAGTTCATATATACAGATAAATAAAATTGAAGTGTCTGTTTGTAATTGTCAAAATAACAGTGTTTAACTAAATACATATGGAATCATATACGTTACTTATAAGAAAAACACAATTTTTTAAATTTTTATCTGTCTGTCAGTCTGTCTGTTTCGGCTAATCTCCGAAACGGCTGGACTGATTTTGATTGGACTATCACTGAAACAGCTGATGTTATAAGGAGTAACTTAGGCTATTTTAATTTTAGAACAACAATTTTGGTCCTGCTCAAAAAAATTAAAACCTACCTAGGAACGTAACCGAGTGGAGTGTGGGTAAGTCCCTAGTCTTTAATGAAGTAATAGATGTATATGAAGGTAGAGTCATAGATAATAGTTAGCCGACTCATTATAAAGAAGAAAAATTAACATAAATTTCATATATTATTTGTTATTCTAAATTTAGCCAGCCCTTCTACCATTCGAAGGTCTCTTATAATATTTCATTCAATGTCACTTTTATTTTACACTAAAGAAATAAAAACAACATCGTAAGGTACTCAAAAAAAAATTAAAAAACTTGTTTGTTAAAATATAACTACAGCTTTTAACTGAACTTTATAGGTAAATAACTGACGGCTCACCATCGCTTCGCTCGAGTTCGTCCCTATATACGTTTTAACGGTTAGTATAGATTTCTCAGAGATGAGATATTTTCCCGAAGTTAAAAGTATCCTATATGTTGACCCTGATAACCAGCTAGTATCATACCAAATTTCATCAAAATCTGTCCAGTAGTTTTTTCATGATGCGTTCCCAAACAGACAGACAGACAAACATTCTAAAAACTATAGATTCGACCTCTGTTTCGATAACAATGATTATTTAAATAAGATTTTTAAAAAATATACAGATTCGACTCAGTTACAATTTTATTATATGTAATATAGATTTTATTCTATAGATTTTAGAGCGCTATGTCTTCAGCCCTTTTTAACGTCCTACTGCTGGGGGTGGGCCTCCCTTCAATACGAGGGGGATCAGGCCATAGTCCACCACGATGGCCAAGCGCGGGCGGACGTCACTTGTCTTTCGAAGACTTGCTAGATTCTCTCATACATACAAGTATCCTAACGATGTTTTCCTTCACCGTAAGACAAGTTATAAACATGTTGGAAAAAACTCGCACATGAAAATATCAGAAGTGCACGGCCCGGGATTTGAACCCGCTACACCAATCCAAGCCGGTCAATAAAAGAAGTAAAAACTTACCAATAAAGCAATATGTGGTAAAATCACGATATCGTCTTCCTTATTCCCCATAGAAAGTTCTTCTTCCCAGACGAGAGGATGATTAGGAATAGCGGATAATGTGCCGTTATCGTTGAATGTGACATTACTGTGTTCTAGAACCTCACTGAAAACGGTTTAGACATTATTTTATTATTAACATTCGGTGTACTACTAATCGCAATATTATATATTAGAAATACGGAAGTTTGCCTGTATGTATGTATGTTTGTTACTCCTTTACGCTGAAACGACTGGACGGATTTGGATGTAATTTAGTACACAGATAGAGCTTGGAAGTAGACCTCAGAGTACATTGATTACTCAATAATAAAATTTGCTGAAAATTGGCATTGTCAGCACCTATATAGTATTACTAGAGACTCACCGTCGCTTCGCTCGGGTTCGTCCTTAGCTTGATTCCCCATACAAACTTTCATCCCCATTTTCACCCCCTTAAGGGATGATTTCCGGGATAAAAAGTATCCTATATCCTGCCCAGAGTCTCAAACTATTTTCTTACCAAATTTCATCTAAATCAGCTCAGTAGATCCAGAGATTACCCTCTACAATGTTACAATTTCACAAACTTTACCTCTTATAATATTAGTATAGATAAATACAAAACGCCGGAGCAAAGCACGGTGAGGGACATTAGTATTATATATAAATGTTTATTGACTCTGTACATTTGTTTATTAAAAGAATCAAAATAATATTTTTTACAATTCTATTATGAGTTTCTTTAAAAATATATATTTTAAATGCAAGTGAAGTCGTGAGGAAGCTGAAGTTGATGTGAGATAGTACAGTTAGTTACATTGTCATTATTAACGTAATCGATACCTCAAAGTTTAAACCAAAAAGGTTTCGATTTGGGTTCAATGACCAAAATTGTACAATTTTCTGGGAGACACAAAATGTCAAACATAGAAACTTTCATAGAACTCTTCAAAGGCAATTACACTACAAAATATGAATGTACATAAAATCAACTAGCGACTCGCCATAGTTTTAACGTTTATTATAGATTTCTCAGAGATGAGATATTTTCCCGCAGTAAAAAGTATCCTATATGTTGACCCGAACAACCAGCTATCATTATACCAAATTTCATCAAAATCTGTACAGTGGTTTTCTCGTGACACGTTCCTAAACAGACTGACCGACAAAAATTCTAAAAACTATAGATTCGCCCTCTGTATCGATAATAATGACTATTTCAATAAGATTTTCCAAAAAATATTTAATGTACAGATTCGACTCATAATTTTATTATATGTATAGATGATAGTTATTGTCGACACTTTTAGGTGAAAACTTTTATATTTAAGTACATAATGTACATAAATATATGATTTTTAACCGACATCAAAAAGGAGAAATTTTTTTGTATTAACATCACACAAATATACTCATTTAAGTATGTTTTTGCTAATAGTAAGCTGATTGTACCTCACAATTTCATCTCTAAAAGTTGAATATATTTAAATAATTTTGAAGTTAGTTAAAACAATAAAGTAAAAAAATTTTTGTACCTACTAAAGTAAAAAAAAATTTGTACTAAAGTAAAAAAAAATTGTATGTACGTTTGTCTGATATTTACCGATAAACATACGGGCCGATTTCCTTCAGTTTGATCTTGCTATCTTTCCCACTCATATATTCCTCAGAATTGGTCACGTTGAATAGAAATACCCTGGTGTAAAGCTTCACTTCTGGTTTCCTCCACATATCATAGATTTCTCCTTGGTTTGATAATATAACTTTCTGTAAGAACAAAATAAGTTATTAAGAAAATGGCATATTTCATATGTTAATAACAGCAAATCTCACTGAGTGTATAAGTTTATGTATAAGTTTCTATTATAATAAGTTATTATGTGTAAATTCTATGTACAAAATTTAAATATATTTTAATTGTACATATATCTGTTATACTTCTGTCTGTCGTTTTATTAAGATGTTTTAATAATAAATAAATATGTTGGGACATTAACAGTAACACACACAGACATCACCATCTAGTTCCATGGTAAGCACGAGGCTTGTGTTGTGGATACCAGATAGTTGATACACTACACATATATAACTTTAAATACACACATATTATAAATATTAACACCCATGACTGGATTACAAACATTCGTGCTCATTACACAAATGAATGCCCCCAGCGGGACTCGAACCCGCGACCGCTGGCACAGCAAGTAGGATCATTACAAACTGAGCCAAACGATCTTTACCATCAAGCTTGACGCGTTTATTAATTAAACCACGTATTTTACGTATTTTTTGCTACCAAGTTTGCATCTTTTACGTCATCAACATAGCAATTTCGTCTAATAAATCTAACCTAGTACTAAATAACACTGTATAAGTTATTTTTTAAAGCTTCGCAAAATATAATGCGATAGAAAAACTTCCAGAACGCTTTTTTGTCGTATTAATTATCTATACTAATATAATATTATATAGAGGAAAAATTAGATTTTTTGTTTGTTTGTTTGTTTGTACTGAATAGGCTCCGAAACTACTAAACCGATTTAAATGAAATTTGGTAAGAAGATAGTATGAGATCCTGGGAAGGATATAGGAAAGTTCTTATCCTGGGATTTATCCCTTAAGGGTGTGAAAATGGAGATGAAATTTTGTATGGGTATGTCAATTTAACTACTGTTTTAGATGTGAAAATTTATGTGTTTGCTTGTTACGCTATCACGCTGAAACGGCTTAACAGATTTAGATGAAACTTACACACACATACATACACAAATAGACTATGACTAGTTACTGTTACCAGGCAGTGTGCCATGCCGGTTGCTCCTGGTACTTCTCTGATAACAGAATGGACCGGGGAGCAACAGGGGAGGTTCTGTTGGGTTTTAGTGGGAAGTATTGGCTTTGCCAGTGAGTCCCGCATAATCACCTGTATGTATGATGATGATGATGTTCTCGTAGCCGATTCCGGCTGCGGCGGCCAATCTCATTGAGACTAGCCTACTGCGCAGGAGATATTATAGTGCACAAGTGTGCACCAGTGCAGTCTCTATTCCTGTCACTCTCATATTCCGGTGGAACGACCACTCGACACGACCGGTGAGAGTTAAGGCGCAGGACCGACGGCTTTACGTGTTCTCCGAGGCACGGGGGTGAAACACCGCCAACTTCCCAACTCCGGGCTGTTACTGAGACTTACTATACAGAAAGACTCAATAACTAAACTTGGCCCGACCCGGGACTCGAACCCAGGACCTCCGGGTGTGCAGCCGTACATGCTAGCCACTACACCACCGAGGCAGTTTTATACCTGTATGAATACAGGTGGTATGTCTAAATGCATTTCCCAACGTTAAAAAAAGTTACCTATGGACGTATGATCGAAGCGTCCTGGTTAAGCTCACTAGTATATATTGTCGTATCTAATCATTGTTTATAAATCGCCTTTGAAATTAGATCCTGCACTCGCGTTAACTTTCTATTAGATTAATGACTTTCTAGAATATTTTCCACAGCTTATAACATTTTATCTCATTACTACCGACTCATTTTTTTATTTCTTCGTCTAAGACAAAAACAAATGTATCCCACGGGAATCGTACATTTTTCCGGGATAAAAAGTAACCTATGTGCTATTCGAAACTATATCGACTTTTCGCCCCCGAAAACCCCCCACGTGCCAAATTTCTGCGAAATCGTTGAAGCCGTTTCCGAGGTCGCCGGTATAAGTATACAAGAAATGCTCGTTTAAATATATTAGATATACATTTTTGATGTAACAGACGTTGTTTTGTGTAGATTTTAATTGAAATATTTGTTATCTTTGAGTTCATACAAAAATAATGTAAAAAAAGCCGTTTTGGTTTTTCCCAAATTTTCCAAAATTTCAACAACAACGCACGGACATGGTTTAAGCAAGCAAAAAATTGATTCATAAGCTTTTTATATTAGCACAGATTTTACTTATCCTATCTTATCATATTATTATTATAAAAGCGAGTGTTTGTAAAGATTTGAGTGGATGTATACATGTTTGATACTCTTTCACGCAAAAAGTACTGAACAGATTTTGATGAAACTTTACAGTAATATAGCTAATACATCAGAGCAACACATCTCTATATGTATATAAAATCGATAGGTATGTACGTTCCCTATGGATTTCAAAATGCCTGAAACGATTTTAATGAAATTTTCAGGTAACCTTCTGATTAGCCCAGTTAGTGATCCTGAGAAGTTTGGTAGCGATCGAAAGTTTGAAAGCGGGCGAAGCCGCGGGTACTGCTAGTAGGCTATAAATATATAATTGAAATTCGCGGGTATATATATTGATTTTATATATATATATATATATATATATATATATATATATATATATATATATATATATATATATATATATATTTAATTTGTTTACCATTTTTCAATTTTCATCAAGAAAAAATAATTAAATATTGCGAATAAAAACGTATATGCATGGACGAACTCGTCTTACGCTTGACCAATACTTAGTTCCGTGTTAATTTTTGTTTTTTTTTCGAACTAAATACATCTTTTAATTAGGTCCAAGTTATAATTGATCAAAGACAAAAAAATCGAAAACGTGTAACTTGTTTCCTCTTTATATGGTTCTATGTTTTTACGATATGTACTACATTACATTACTATTATAATTTATGCCTTTTATATGTCTGTAGGCAGTGGTAGCCCAGTGGTAACGCGCTCGCTTGGAAAACCGAGTGAAGCGAGTTCAAATCCCGGGTCTTGCACCTCTGATATTTTCATGTGCGAATCATTTCTAACATGATTACCACTTGTCTTACGGTGAAGGAAAACATCATGAGGCATCCTGCAAGTCTGAGAGAACCTAGCAAGTTTGCGAAAGACATGTGAAGTGCGCCAACCCGCACTTGGCCAGCGTGGTGGACTATGGCCTGATCCCTCTCGTATTGAAGGGAGGCCCGCGCCCAGCAGTGGGACGTTAAAAAGGGCTGAAAACATACATACATACATACATATGTCTGTATGTTTAGTACATAGAAAGACTGTAAACTTTTTTATGTTGAGAAATTTACGTATACCACCTGTATATTAGAGGTGGTTATGTTGGGCTCACCGGCTAGTAGTTCTCTAGCCGGTGAGTGACGGGTAACAACACAACAGAACCTTCCCCGTTTTAATGCTGCGTCACAGGATCGCTTCCGCACTCAACCACAAAGCCCCGACGGCAGGTCTGCTGAAGCTGACCACAACAACCAAGGGGTTGCTCCATTGGTCCACTCTGTTGTCCGAGAAGTACCAGGAGCAACCCACATGGTACACCGCCCAGCGAAGTGGACCACCTCCCTGTGGTCTTGGCTTCGCGCCCAGCAGCGTTGCCGGACGAGATTGACTAACCTAACATGCTAACCTGGAGTAACATATAGGCTACTCTTAAGCACCTAAAGACGTACTCGGGAGAAGCAAAAATAATAAATATTATATAAGTTAATTTTTTTTCTTACCCATCTAAATATGATGTCGTAGGGATGAAGGAACATGATGCCGAAGCCGATGCCTAACGAGATAAATCCGAGTAGGAAGTAGATGAATAAACCTGTAACAAAAATGATGTTGTTGTTAATAAACGATAGATCTATATAATGAATAATAATAAAATTGCATTAAAAGTTTAAATATATTAAATTTTTGATATTATTACAGACTTCGAAATAGGTGTTTAATTAGTTTGTATTATACATCTGTGCGTTTGTTACATTATTTATAGCGAGTGAATGTCCCGTCAAAATCATTCAAGCCGTTACGGAGATTAGCCGAAACAGACAGACAGACAATTTAAAAAAAATATGTTTTTCGTATAAGTACCGTATATAATTTTATATGCATTTAGTAAAAAAGCTGTTATTTTATACAAAAAACGGACACTTCAATTTAATTTATCTGTATAGATAAGTAACTTGTAGGAAGCAATAACATTTGGGTACTAAAGCTCGTAACGAGCTTTATTTAACCAACTAGCATTGCCCGCGGCTCCGTCCGCGTTTAGATGATCAAAAACCAAATTCTTAGGTTTTATATATTAGTAAAAAGTATCCTATATGTTGACTCGGATAACCAGCTATCACCATCATTCATGTACAAACAAACAAACTACCTACAAACACAAAAAGAGTTAGGGTTCCCCATAAAAAAAAACGTACCTAGGAACGACCCCGAGCGAAGCGAGACTAACTTACTAGCGATTATTTTTTTTTTAATAAAGAAATAAAAAACATACATACATTTCATAATATTTTAACCTTCGTTTCAATGCATTTGCTTGACCTTTACCGATGAAGTTCTAGATTGATCTTATAAACTATATAAAAATATTGTGATAAGGCAATGATATATTTTTATTTATATTTTATTTAATTTGTATATCTTTATATAGAAGACTTTTAATTTTCATGGTTACTCACTATATACATATACTAGGTACTTATAATTTTATATACTACTAGCAGAACCTGCGGCTTCGCTCGTGCTAAAAGTAAAAAAAAAACTAAAAAGGTAGGATTCATACAAACTTTCATGCCCTATTTTACTCCCTTATGGAATGAATTTCGAAAAATGCTAAAACACGTATTTATTTAATTGTATTGAAGAGCATTAATACCAAGTTTCAAGTAATTCAGATCATAAATATTTTTTTGGGTTGTATTATAACGGGGTTTCCCGTGGGAAATATCATTCCCGCAGTAAAAAATAGCCTATGTCACTCTCCAGCCCTCCAACTACTTCCACACAAAATCACGCCAATCCGTCACTCTGTTTCAACATTAAAGAAGGACAAACAAACAAACACACATTTATATTTATAATATTAGTATGGATACTTCTATAAATATAATAAAATTCTTAGTCAAATCTGTACATAAAATATTTGACAGTTGACCAATCTCGATAAGATGAATCGCCAAAATCTAAATCGGTCTTGAATCGCTCTTAATTATATTATTCATAACATTTTTCTGAAATTTACTCAAACACTTGACATTTTTAATGATAAAAATCCACAAAAAAAAACCTTCCTTTGAAATATATAATAATATATGTATGTACAAAATGACAAACTGTTATATATATATATATATATATATATATATATATATATGTATAAAACTCATTGAAAATATACATTAATTTTTTAATCAGATAACTCTTTATAAGTGCATCTAGATTTACTATATACACATTTGACCTTTGCAAAAATATTTACTAAACTTTTTAAGTAATAAATTTTATTGCAAGCTGAAAATAAATAAATGTTTATTGCTAGTTTTTATAACCGTCTCGAGATAACTTTCATACACGACCTTGCAATAACGTCCTCCTGATTGATGTCGGTCACGGTGGTCAATCTAACTGAGACTAACCATATATATTATTTTTTGCACTTATGAAACATAATATAGATCGGGAGCTCACAACCATACAACCCCCTACTCCTCCCCCTCTCCCTCCACCTCCCCTCTCCCTCCCCTCCCACCTCCCTCTCTCCCTTCCCCCTCCCCCCTCCCCTCTCCTAGGGAGGCGTAGAGAGTTTGTTTTATATAATTTAAAATTAATAAAAATCAAGGGAGACAAAGGAGATTTTTTTTTATAATCCAGGGAGGTTCAACAGAAGAAAGGTTGGGAAACTCTGATTGAGCTTATTAAAGGACAAAGGCAAGTTATCCCTACAAGGCATTTCTTCCAGTCAACTCTCGGATGTGAAGGATAGTGTTAAGTAGCAGGTCCATTAAGTGCCATAAATATTTATGAAAATTTAAATTCATAGCAACAATGTCATATAAAATGATTTATTTATATGTTAATTTTTTTTTAATATACTGTGTTGCAATTAGTTACGCCCCCCAGCATAATTAAAGAACAAAATAAGAAATAATATCTATACTAATCTATACTAATATTATAAAGAGGTAAAGCTTGTGAGTTTGTGATGTTGTAGCGAGTAATGTGTGGATTTTACTGAACCGATTTAGATGAAAGGCAAGAAGATAGTTTGAGGCCCTGGAAAGGCCATAGAATTTTTTATCCCAGAAATCATCCCTTAAGGAGGTGAAAATGGGGATGAAAGTTTGTATGGAGAATCAACCTAAGGACGAACTCAAACGAAGCGAGTTTGCTAGATACGTTGCGTACCTAGTGCGTGTGTACAGACATTATGTGCTCTCTCTATTCCCTCAATTTTTAGTCAATTAGATGATACAATAGAATGAGAGAACCAGCCTCTCAACTCCGAGATGCTACCGAGTATTTCGTGACAGAATAACCCAATAAATATTTAAGTCCTATCCCAGATTCAAACCCAGGGCTTCTCATTCTGTTACCGTACATACTAGCCACTAAATCACTCAAGCAAAAATCGGTAAGAGAGAATATAAGATGAAAGATACTTAAAAAAATATGCCAGGATATCAAGTTCGCATAGCATCATAAGTCAAGGTATAGCAATTACATCAATAACATATAATTTGGTCGGCTGATTAAGTATAGGTATAGTAATCGATAACAAGACGTTAGTCAATTACTAAGATTGATCAACCACCGAATATAGCGCTAGTGAAAAATATATCGCGCTGTAGTTATTAATGTTGTTGTGTGTTTGTTTGTCATTATTTAATGCGGTTTTGGTTAATGGGCCTTTTAAATCTTTGAATGATTTAGATCAAGTGTAGAAGTGATGGCTTTCGTTCTAGCTAAGGCAGCTTATAGAATTCAAGCTGTTACTGAGAATTTCTTGACCAAAAAACCCAATGACTGTACTTAGCCCGACCTGGGACTCGAACCTACGATCTACGATATTTTCAATGGAACCTGCAGCCTTAAACGCCAGCCATATAGCCAATTATCGTAAACAAGATAAAAGTTATAAAATCACTTAAGTAAATGATAAGTTTGAACATTAAATTATTATTCATTATCACATATTGAATATTCAAATTTAAACTGGCAATTGATTTAAGCAATCATTATCGACATTTTTTTGAAATATATTTTACTTCTTCACATTACGTAGCATTATAAAAACAGATTATGTTGAAAAATACGCTTCAAAGCCATTAGTGGTGGTTCTCAATAACCCGTCTATATGAAGTTTTTCTTACTATATATTTAACGTAATCTCCATACAAATTATCACAAACTAGCGTTTTCCCGCGGCTCTACGCGCATACATAAATATATAACTATTTAATATTTATAATTTATAGCCTATGTTACACTAATATTTAAGCTGCATAACTGTAAAGTTTCATCAAAATCCGCCCAGCCGTTTACCTATACTAATATTATAAAAAGGCAAAGTTTGTCGGTTTGTTTGAACGAGCTAATCTCAGGAACTACTAATGCGATGTGAAAAATGCGTTTATTGATGAAGGCTATAGGCTATATAATATCCCGGAAAAATATAAGGTTCCCGCGGGATACATTTTTTTTTAATTTGTGAATTGAGAGCGAACCGCTAATCTATGAAAAAGTAAAAACATTACATAAGTAAGTAATTAACAAGATAATTGAGTTGACTTCATTGTACTACGCGATATCGCGCTATGTATACAACAGATCAGTGGACAAATGTCTTTATAATCGTTGATTTAATGAACTTGTGGAGTGAATAAAGTGTACCTATAAGTTACACAATTTTAGCAATTCCGCTATAATTAAAAAAACTGGTTCTCGTAGAACATTATTCTTGACAATCAATATTAACACAAATAGGACCTAGAGCCGTCTACGTCATAATTACTTGACCGACTTCAAAAAAAGGTACGCTTATAATTTAGTTTTTCTTTTAATTTTATGATCTTTAAACGAAAATTTGTCAATTATGTATTTTAATTTAATTTTAAACGTCCCTAGCCTCGTTTTAATTTTTTCGAACGGAACCCTAATTCTTTATCTAAAATAAAAGTAGCCTAAGTTACTCCTTATAACATCAGCTATATGCCAAAATCAGTCCAGCTGTTTCGGAGATTAACCGGAACAAACAAACATATATATAGACAAACAGATTTTTTTTTAATTGTGTTTTTCTTATAAGTACGTATATAATTTCATATATATTTAATAAGAAAGCTGTTATTTTGACATTACAAACAGACACTTCAATTTTATTTATCTGTGTAGATAAGTCATAATTCAAATCAAACTTCAAAAGTTCGAGAACTTTAAAAGTCGCTTTACCCTCGCTTTGCCCTATAGTGCATAACAAATTAGGTAGCCTATATGTTACTCCAGCTCATAGTCCATCTGTGTTCTAAATTCCATCTAAAACGGCCCAGCCGTTACAGCGTGAAGGAGAATAAACAAACACACATACAAATAATCGCATTTATAGCAATCCAATATCATATTAAAGGTAGTTAATATACAAGTAATTATTATAACGCAAATAAACTTGTGCCGATGTGAGTGTTACCATATTAGCTATATCTAATAAATATTTGAAACAAGTTTTTTTGCATAAGTAATGCTAATTATTAATTCGAAATCAAATTGGATGTTGATACAAAAAATTTAAGGTCAGCATTTGAACCTATAAAGTAATTTAATTCTTCTTAGACATAATACATATATAATTTATTAATAAAAAAATAAAATAATATGGCCCAGTTTAATTATAATACTTATTAATAAATATTAAAATGTTTAGTATTAAACTCAACAAATATTATAAGGTACTTTCGTGTAAGTTTTGAATTTTTGAAATCGTTTTGTAAAATTGTGGGTAGGCACTATCTGTAAGAAGTATATAACTTTTAAGACATGTAACACCTCAGTCTCTCCCGTGACCATGGATGCTGTAAAGCATTCGAAACGTCGGGACCCAAAAATCCAAATAAATCCGCGAAAAAATCCGAAAAGATAGTTTTTTTTTAAATCTCAAATTTATTATTTCGCTTTGGAAGCTCTTATTAGACACTCATATTGATCCCCAAGACTTTTAATTATATGTATAGAAGCTTTTAGCTTTTTAAATCATTTTCGACACCGTTTTTTTTTTGTGGATTCACGCTACTGGCGGTAGCTTCATCATCCATTAAATTTTGTTTAAATTTTAATAACGATTCAAACTTGTTAAAATTTATATGAAGAAAATTAATTTTGATTTGATTTACTTTACATATTATGGAGAGAGAAAACGTAGCAGCGTGCAGGTTTTGCGAATAAATTTTGACAAAATTTTGACGACACGTTTGGCTCAGTATGAAGTGACCGTATATGCTGTGCCAGCGGTCGCA